TCCTGGAGCAAGAGTGCTGATTTGAGTAAGACCGCTTCTCTGTGTGATGCAGATTATGAGATGATTTATAGCGGTGATCAAGGTCCGTCTTTTTATAATTTCTCTCCGATTTTGAGTCGCCTCTGCCACTGGGAGAATAACCCTTTTCTCTAGATCTGCTCCTGGTAAAGTGTGTGCGCTCTGCACTTCTTGAGCGCCTCTTTCTCCTGTGCTCGATGTCCTTTGACACGCGACTCTCCCTGGATCTGCCGTCATATCTTCGATCAGTGTCTTTTCTGTCTGACTTGCTGGATGTCTTGTATTTGCTAGATGTCGAAGAGCCACATCTTTCTTTTGAAACCAACTGATGATAGTGGTCTGTTTCAACATTTTCTAACTGTCCAGCCCTGCTTGGATCACTGCTCGGTGAAGGTATAGGACTGAGGCTGGAGAAGCGGATGTGTTGAGGTAGAAGAGGCACTGCTTTAACATCTTCATCAGCAGACTCATCAGAGTCAGAGGAGAGCTGGACCAACTCAGGAGTCCTTTCTGCTGTTGGCTTGACAACATCAACAATGATACAGTCATCACTGATATCAAATATACACTCCTCATTGGTAACCTCACCCTGAGTCGCCGCTGTTTGGCTGTGAGGACTCATTTGCAGTGGGGACGCCCCTAACCCACGGCTGTCCTCCTCTAAACTGCTGTCTGAGTCTGAGTCGAGGACCGAGAGACACTCCACCCTGCTCCGCTCTGCTGTCGTAGAATAAGACGGCCCTGGCGTCTCATCATCCCATATGGAGTGCCTCAGAGTAGACGTGGAGTCTCCTGGGGGGTCAAACTCCGTCAAGTCTTCCTCATCCTCTGAGATAGCTATTACAGATGAATTGGAGCTGCCGTCTTCATTTGAGGAAGAGGCTGGGCAGTCGTAGGCAGCATGCTGGTCATAGGCCTCCATATTAAAGGGGGACTTTGCAAAGCTCATGAACTCATGGATAAAGTGCTCTGTGCGCGCCTGGAGGAACGGCCTGAGCTCTTCAAGAATAGCTCCATCCTCCATGTCATAACGTGTAATGCGCGACATAATGATGTGTTGCACTATGTTGACCAAAGAGCCGTGGCCCCCATACAGCACAACAAGTTCTCTTTTCAGCCAGGGGATCAGTCTATGCAGGCACGCAGGATTTGTTCGGAAGAATTCAGCCGAGGTTTCTCTGGAGCGACCACCATCGTGAACATTACGAACCCTCACTCCCTGTCGGTACAATTCCCTCCTGAAGTTTACCATTTCCAGCTCTCGGACAGTGTTCACTGCCCTGCCTTCAGTTGCGGCTCTCCTCTTCGCTGCCAACCTCTTCATCATCCGCCGGATGTAACGCTCCTGCTCCTGTTGAGGAGGGTTAGCTGAAGCTTCAAACATTACACCGTTGTCTGGAGGTGGAGAGGTTCTTCCCCGCATCTGCCGATGGACTCCTGTAAGAGTGGTGCGGTATCTAAACCGCACTCCCCCAAAAGACCCAAATGAGCCAGTCTCTACCGGTTGAAGGTCATACTTCTTAAAATCTTGCTCTGATTTTATACTGTGGTAAATTGAATTAAAAGACTGTTTGCATAAAGGACACTCGGCTTTGTTTTTGGACCACTCATGGATGCAGCGGAAACAGAATTTGTGAAGGCAGATATCCAGGTAAGAAATGTTGTTAAATATGTCCAAACAGATGGGACACTTGGAGTCCGGAGACACATCTGCAGACATTGCTTCAGAGATTTTCCTTCTGCTCTTCTTCTGGCTCTGCTGCAGGGCAATCTTGATTGCCGACATGATCTGACATGATCAAAAAAAGGTACATTATTATAAAATGCAGAATTTGCACAGTTACTGAACAATAATGGTAAGACAGCCATAGAGCACCTTACTGTTCTAATAAGGTGCTGCAGTTAAGTCTTAAATAAGACACATTACCCAGTAAATCCTATTTAACGTTCCTTATTAAGTTAAACATGATATACCCTAAAAAGAACACAAGAGTTGAGCTAGTTATCTCAGATATACACTATACATCCGATTCAACCATATTATGATCAGCTGCTGTATACATATGACATATATTTCAGTCTTCATATAATGACCAACACATCATCAACAAATACTTTTTTTTTAGACTATATTATAAGATTCACAATGTAGTTTTTCGTTATTCTGACAAATTATCTAAGCTTGTTATAACAAAACACATGACTTTCCCTCTCCATAATGCATATAGACATATTAAACCTTACATCCATTTAAGAACACCACACTTCCCAACACATATACTAATCTATAAATACATGTTGATTAAAAAAAATGCTTTAAAAATGTTAGACCTGTCCTGTAATGAGACGATAAAGCAGAAATGAATGACGCACATGGGTGCTTAATAAAATGCTTACTGTGTGACAGTCCGTGATATGTAACTAATGTCAAAGTCCTATTTTTATATCGGATTTATTCGTGCTTTACACATTACAAGAATACTCGTCTGAGGCTCATCTTAATTGACTTTTCACTAAGAACAACATGTCGTAATAAACCCAAAATTAAATAAGCACTCGTTGCTGTACTTCTTTTGGTTTTCACTTAGCCTAGCAAGTTAGGCTAGCACCGTGCCCGCTCACACAAGTGAGTAATGTTACAGTTAGAAACACGTCAGATTTAAGTGTCGGTATTGTCTCCACAACCCTGATCTTTAAATAAACTATTCTGTCAGGGATATATTGGTGCTGCCACTCAACGAGACTGCGAGATATAGCCTAGGAACTGATGATTAGCAAGCTAGCTGAGTTAGCTAGGACTCTATAGCTAAGTAGCATTAGCTTGATAGGCTAAGAACTGAACGGCTAGTTATGAGCTTCGAAAAAAGTTGTTCAATATTTACTTTTGGCTTCCTCGGACACGTATGTGGTTGACGACTGATTATCCTTCACAGTCTCGTAGAAATCGACTAATTTCTTCATAGCAGTCATAAGGGAGCAACTCTTAACCAGACCAGCAGCCAGGCTTCATAACACACCATAGCTTACACAGTACTTTTTAAAATTCAATAAAACAAGCCACTTCCGCCCTTCAAAATAAAAGCGACACAAATAATTATGTAGTAGTAGTAGCAGTAGAACCTTTATTTATCCAGGAAAATCAATTAAGAACAAATTCTTATTTACAATGATGACCTGCCAGGAGGCAAAGGCTTCCTGAGGGGATGGGGTTTGGGAGGGGAAACAAATAAAAAGACAGACTCCGGGCACTACAGAACCCAGGAGACAACACAAACACATAGAGCAAAGATGACAGGCATAGCAGTTAAACATATACAAACTCTAAAACAATATTGCTGTGGTTCAATCAGTCATTAAAATCAGCATTAGGCAAAGCAGCTACATGTGTGTACCAGGGTGTCAATAATAGTGACATTGAAGGTGCGGGGGGAGACAAAGGTTTTCATTTTCAACGTTTTTGAATGACATTCCAGCTATCTGCTGCTGCAAATTGAAAGGCGGAGCGGCCAAAGGATGTATGGGCTTTGGGGATCTTTAACAGGATGCTTGTAGCTGACCGGGTGTTGTGCGTCGGGGGTGTGCGGAGTTGCAGTAATTGTGTGAGGTAGAAGGGGGTGAGGCCTAGGAGTGTTTTGTAAACAAACATCAGCCAGTGGATGTTGCGTCTGGTCTCAAGAGAGGGCCAGTTAGCCAGAGAGTACAGGGGGGTATACTACGAAGCAGGATTTTCGCTTAGCCGGCTAAATTCAGGGAAAACTCCGGCTTTCCGGTCCTACGAAGCTGGTTCTCTTTTTAGCAGGCTAGATCTCCATGGTAACTTATGCTTAGCGGCTAACCTGGTCGGGACCAGGTTAGGTTGCAGGCTAAGAGCTCAACTCAGTGAAAGCACTGCCTGCTGACCAATCAGAGCTCAGTGTGCGGAGTTTAAAGCGATCAAGTCATATTACAGGAGAAAGGAAATACAGAAAAGCTGCCGTCGCAGGAAAGACGGCCGGCAAAAATCACCGACTGTGTGAACTTGAACATTAATAGAATATCACCTCCCATCTTCAGAGCAATCTGACTATTATAACATTAGCGTTAAGAACACTTACCACATATCTACCACAACATAAGTAACCGGATCAGAGTAACATTAAGTACAGTCCGCGGCATATCACTTCATGATGTATCATATATTTTCTTATCTGAGTCAGCTGAGCCGTATCTGGCCGTGCAACACTCACAGTGTCACATAGGCCTACTGTATGCAGAAGTATTATTTTAAGCAACACATTAAGTTGACGAAACACTCGAGACAAATGTAATTAAAGTCAAATCGTGTCTTAGACGGGGCAGTGATATCATAAACCTGTTAATGTACGCATTCAAACACTTTTTATTTTGCCAGCTGTATTAACCTTGCAGGTGCAGACTATGTGGCTTTTATCCTGGATAAAGTGTTTAAGTCATGGATGTTTAAAGTGTAACTTCTTCATTTTTGACTAGTATTAAAGTTCACTTTTCATTCAGGAAGTATGACGCTGCGCTGTCAGTACGCTTGTCCATGTTTGTGATTGGTCGAATGCTCCAAATACCACCCCTTTCATGTGAACGCGCACCTAACTAGATAGGAAACGGCTGGCTTGAGCGATCCACTTGATAACCAGCGTCGTAGTACAGTTTAGCGAGAGCGCGTATGTTTTGGATTAGGCCAACCGGCTAACTCAAACATATCCAGGTTAGGTTGAACCAGCTTCGTAGTATAGGCCCCTGGTCACAGTGGTGTGTCCTGTTGGGGGCATTGGTGGCGAAGCGGATGGCGGAGTGATACAGAACGTCTAAATGATCGAGAGCTCCTTTACACGCCGTAACTTTGTTCTACTACAGAACTACTTACAATGATTATGACAATGATCGAAATAACTATTTTGCTATTGTATTTAAATATTTTCTCACATTTCACCAGAAATTACATTAATTTGGAGAATATAACAGAAAAATAAATTCCTGTTGGTTGATAACTTGAAATGTACATATCGTTTTTGAACGTTATAATTCACTGAACGAATAATAAAAGTGCCATATTTGCATTTAGAGAACTAAAAACATCAACCACATAAAGCCCACATCCGGCCAACAGTTAACAAAATAAGAGCCAACGGCCCCGGATGAGACGGGTACTTAACTGTGGCAAATACAGTCAAGAAAGAGAACACGTTAAAGACAGAAATCAGGAAGCAACCGAATCTCCAAGATACATTAGACATTTGATCAGAGAGACTATTATATTATGAAAGACATACAGAGTTAATTAAGATAATGTATTGTATTTGATGGGATGCTGGTTCCCCTCCAAAACAGTAGGTGGCGGTAATGCACCGTTAACGCTGGTTTCCACCCGCCATTACATCGTAAAAAGAAGAAGAAGAAGACCCGGGGTTTTTGAATCAGGTTTGTGTAAAATTGTCCCAGACCGAAGCAAAACAAACGAACCAACATACAAACACACAGGTATTTATTTGAGAGTGGAGTCCCGGGATGTCCTCATCATGGACTGGGACCAGCTGGAGCTCCACCCGAGGATCATCTCTGCGGTGCGGAGATGTGCTCTATCTGTCCGGACGGTGCTGTGTGTTTCTGCCCCGGACCTGCAGCGGCTCTCCGGTCTGTCCCGCTCCGACACCCAGCAGCTGCTCACCGCCGCCGCCACAGCCTGCCGCCGCCACGCGCCCCTCCCTGCGCTCCTGAGCCGCGGGTTACAGTCCAGCCTCAGACTCAGCGTGGGCTGCCCCATCCTGGACGAGCTGCTGAGGGGGGGGCTACCCGTGGAGGGGGTCACCGAGCTGTCCGGAGAGAGCGGCGCGGGGAAGACTCAGCTGGCTCTGCAGGTCTGTCTGTCTGTGCAGTACCCCACACAGTACGGAGGTCTGAACGCAGGAGCCGTGTTTATCAGCACCGAGGACTCTTTCCCGGTCCGGCGGCTGCAGCAGCTGATCCGGGGTCAGTCCTGTCTGCGCAGCGACGTTCCTCCCTGGCTCATCAGCAGCCTGAACTTCAGCGACCGGGTCTACATCGAGCACGCCGCAGACCTGGCCTCTCTGCAGGAGTGTGTGTCCCGCCGCGTGCCCCTGCTGCTGGCTCGCGGACTGGTGCGTCTCGTGGTCGTGGACTCGGTCGCTGCGCTGTTCAGGTCGGACTTCCTGGCTTCTGATTGGTTGGAGAGGAACAGACAGCTGCTCACCTTCTCCGCCGCTCTGCACCACCTGAGCCGGGAGTACAGCACCCCTGTGCTCTGCATCAACCAGGTGACGGATGTTTTCAGCAGTTCGGACAGTTTGGGCTCATCGTCCAGCACGGGGACCCTCACCGTGACCCCCGCCCTCGGATTGGCCTGGGCTAATCAGGTGATGGTCCGGCTGATGATGTGGCGTCTGCAGGGAACGGTCTCCCGTGGCGACCAGAGCAGCGCCCCGCGCAGGCTGCAGGTGGTGTTCGCTCCTCACCTGGCCCGCGGGGGCCGGGGGGCCGGCGTGTGGAGGGAGGGGGTCCGGGGCCTCATAGAAACCGCATGAAATTATTCATAAAAATATAAATACAAGATTCCCCCGACACACACACACACACACACACACCTGTACAGACAAACACAAAAGTGTAACAGCCATTGCTGCCTTTTTTTTATGTTACATATTACTCACCTCTTTGCTGCACGCTTGTGGTCGAACTACAGAAAAGCAGGTTTACAGAGACCTTGAGTAGCCATGCTATGAGAATATTAATAAAGAGACCCAGATGGTGTAGTGAAAGTTAAATGTTTGAGGCTGTGGGAGTCTTTAAATTACATAATGTTCTAAGAAATCTCCAAGAGATTAAGAAAGAGCAACTATTACTCAGTAATCCAATACCATCTGTGCAGACATTGGTTAGGTTTTCTCTTTGAATGACAGTTTTTTTGAACCATGTTTTTTATTTTACTTTTGTATATAATTTATTCCATATGATATATTTTATGTAATTAAACGCTTCTAAAGTTTTGAATATTTGATTTCTACATGATACCACATACTATACATACAGTACAGTCTTTATATACATATTATTTCTGATGGTTCTCAGTTTAGCTAATGGCAGTATGAAACACTATTGGAGTCATTCAGACCAGAAGAAACATTTCCCTACATTTTAATGTCAAATACATTTGACAGTTAGCATTGTACATTACACGCTTGTAATCTGGAATTCCAGTGTATCTTCAATGGATTACTTTATACTGTACCAGAGTTGGTGTCATTTTATCCTACGTTATCAGAACATTACGGATTACACTACTAAGGTTGAGTTAACATTTGACATTAAGCAATTGTATTATTTTCTTTAAACAAATGTGATCTGGCAGCAAACTATTTTTTAAAGAAGTACTACATTCTCTCACTTGTGGAAGCATTAAAAACGTTCAGGACTGAATTTATTATTTTATTGGCATATACACAGTTTTTACAACAGGAAATGAAAGAAATATTTCAACTTCAGTGATGACCATGGAACTCGGGGAGATCTGGAACAACTTCACCCGTCTCCAGGATGGTGTCACCCTTAACACAAAAACAGGGACAGAAAACAATTAGCAATTAGCATCATAGCACTGTTTGCATGTAAACAATCTAACTCTCTCTGGTAAATCAGGCGTGTATGCAGATGTACATCCTAATCACATACACTATAATTATATGAATTATACAATTGCGGTGATTAGAGGAACACAAAAGATACAATTGATTTTAAATGAGTCATACTTACAGGGAACAGCCTGGGTTTCAACGGCACAATACCATATGGCCTTTCCTGCGGGGGACAAAGACATTGTTTTAGTACTCTTCCGACACCTACATGTATAAGTATGGGTTGTATAGTGGCCATGTTTGTTAATAAAAAAAGACATGGAATAAAGCAAATGTAAAAGTAGTACTGTTTTATGCAAGTTACCATGTATGCTACCTTAAGAGTAGTGAAACAGTCTACCGTCAGTAATAGTATGGGAAGTTACTTTTTAAATGCAATAGGTTACAGGACACATTTTAAAAGCTATTTTAAATCGTTTTTAAGTAATGTTGATTACCTGTAAATCAAATGTTTTAACCTGGACAAAAAAAAAAACATAAAATCAACCCAGGCAGCTTTTACTACTTATTTGTTTACTAATATCACAAATAAAGCGTATCGACTCACAGCGATGTGGTATTTCACACAGTAGTGAACAACCCAAGCAGGAATCAACAGTCGTGTGATGGCGAAAACTCCACCTGTGTATGCTTTGTAGGTCTGTAAGGAGATGAGAGAAAAGTTATTACGCATAGACGAGACATACAGCATGAACCACAGTGTTGATTTCGTCTGCTCTAAAACAGGTCACGCCTAAATAGTAAAAATAGTAATATCAAAACATACGGTGTTACAATTAAAAGTCCTGGATTTAAAATGTAACTACTTCATGGGCTTACAGAAAAAAGAAAATTCAAAAAGAAATATATTTTATTGTTGTGAATTATGTATTGATGCATTCACTTGGTAAGAAAGAGCTTATTCATTGTTTTACTAAATATATACTGTGAAGCGTGTCAATGTCCTTGAGGGAACAATAACAATATTTGTTTAATGCCCTATGTGTAGATAAATGTAGTACAAAGAGCACAAGGTATTATTTTCAAAATGATAACAAGCCTGCCTGACTTTTATTTTATTCCTTCCTTACTATTTATATAGTATGAATATAAACAAATATATATTCATCTTTCTTAAAGAAATAATTCGTTTTGGTGAGCTATTTCGCCACGTTAAAAAAGGTGCTACACTAACTAAATCTATTATTATTATGAAGTAAGTTGGGCAGAGGTTGAAGAAGTACTCAGATCTTATACTTAAGTAAAAGTAGAAGTACCAGAGTGTAGAAATACTATGTTACAAAGAAAAGTGCTGCATTCAAAATGTTACTCAAGTAATAGTACAAAAGTATTGGCATCAAAATACTAAAAGTACCAGAAGAAACTCGTTATTCAGATTCCATTTTGAAATAATTTACATTGTTTTGATTATAATTATTGATGCATTAATATGTTTATCATAGCTGGTGAAGGTGAAACTACGTTTGTATTATTCACTTACTTTTAAGTGTTGTTGATCATATTTGTTGTTATCATTCATTTATATCTGCAAAGTAACTTATGGTACTGCATGCATCTAGTACAAGTACACTATTTACCTCTGAATTAGTAGTGGAGTAGAAGTATAAGGAAACATAAAATACAAATACTCCAGTCTCTAAAAATTGTACTGACAGTAGGCCTACTTGAGTAAATGTACTTCGTTACCTTACCAATGCATTTAGCATAGCACACAACTCGTTAGCAGGTTTAAATATAACTGATAACCTTAAAATAAGGAGCCGTTGTTAGGCTGTATTTAAGGTTGTTTATCAGCTGTTTTTAACATTATGGCTGTGCATCAGGACTCACGTAAAGCCTCCACAGGGTCTTGGGCTCCAGGAATCCAGCCCAGAACTTAGCGACGGCTCCCGGAGGTTTGATCTCAATCACGGGCTCTCTCGGGCTGAGCTCCTGGTCCTTCAGCCACAGTTTCCGGAGCTTCCTCAGCTGATCCACCCGCAGCTTGTCGTCCGGTGTGTACCCAGACATTTTGATTTGTTGGATATTCAACCTCAAGAGAACAGCAATGACACCATGGAGGACACTTCCCCTTCGAAGGTAAACACACCAACGAAGAAGAAGATGGAGCGGAAACGTGTCACGGATTGAAGAGTGAGATGAATATTAGTGCGACACCTGCTGACCCGGAGAGGAAGGGATACTATTATACATTGTCAACGCTAGCTAGCAATCTGGGACCTTTACAATGAGCAAAACATTCCTCTAATAACATATGATAATATACAATTCAGCCTCTGCTTTTAAATGAGTGTTTTTAAATGCCATTTTATAATATGTTTCGCTCTTAATGTCTTTCATTTTTGTAAAGCATTTTGAATTGCCTTGTGTTGAAAGGTGCTATATAAATAAACTTCCCTTGCCTTGCCTCAATTTGAAAACAAAAGAGCTGAATTTGGAATTAATTTGATTATTTTAGCAAAATGTGTCGTACACAAATATCGCTTTTTCAAAATAAATCTCAAGTATTAGTATAGAAGCTTTTCTTAATGAAATGAAATGATACAAAAAAAGTATGAAATAGTGCAAAAGTAAAAGGCCCAACAATTGTACACATTTCTAAACATCTTTGTTCCTGAATGACCACTTAATAATGAATAGTTGTTCAATAAAGTAAAACAACTTTAAGGCGATAAATAATGAACAAAAATTAATGTGAACTCCAAACAGAATGATGTTATGAAGGCGCCCTGTAGAGTGCACCATAGTTAACCTATAATGCACTTTTGGAATGTATTTTTCACATGGGGATATTATTGCAGTAGTATGGTCCTTTTGGAGTTTGACTCATATAAAGGGGTTTATTGTAAATTATGTTTTGTGTTTTTTCAAGAACCTAAAGGCAGCGCTGTTGATATAAACAACTAAACAGATGTAACCCACCAACTCATGTCTCGTTTTCATAAATAAAGTGGAAATACACTTCACATGGGAGGTAGATTGGTGAGGGGTTTACAAAGATAACAAAGCATTAATCTTCGGTTAGAAACTGACGTTGTTAGTTTATATAATAGCTAAAAGTAGACATTTTAAGGGAGTTGCTCATAGACAATAAGTTGTCATGTAAAATGGAATAAACTGTTTGGCACAAAGCACAAGCTGCAGAAGTCAGACAGGATGAGTCAATCCTTTTTGAACAATCTTTATTGATACGAGGATGACAGCACAAACAATGATCACTTACTATATATATATTTATTTAAATGTTCAACATTCAAAATGGTATTAAACAGGATAAAACAAAACGACTTTATCTTCCAAGTTGATTGAAAAGTCTCTTCACACTAAACCAAAACAACATTTAAATTGAGAAACATATACAATAATGAACATTCATTTAAAAATCAAACCCTTACCTAAACATAGCCATACCTCTAATTAATATGGACAACAAATATGTAAGTATTTAAACCAGGGAACTGAATAGTATGTAACTCAAGTGACTATATTTATTGCATTTAAAGAAAGTAATCAACAGATTTAAAAAACAAACTTGATTTAAGACAAGCAAGCCAATTATCTATAGTGGAAACCTGTAATAACACTGATTCTGATTTAATGAAGCGTGCCATCCAGATTGCTTTCCTCGTTATGGAGAGGGTTTGTAGCGGTTACACCTGTTTCCAGTCAGGTGACGGTCGCAGGTCAGACTGTAGACCACCTCAACGCCGCCTTTCTTGGCGTAGCAGGTGAATCTGTGAGTGCCTTGGCTCAGGGTCTTCACACATGACCCCAGACGGTCGTCCCTGCCCCAGTCTTCATCCCAGACCTCAATCTTCAGACCCAAATGTGTGTCCACCTTTGATGGGGAAAACATTTAAAAAAAGCAAAGGTTAAAACAACATCATGTAAAAAACATACTGACCGTTTGTTCACCAAATATGCAAGAAAGGTTCAATTTCTCAATATACTATACAGAACACAAATGTGCAGTTTATTTTTCATCACACTATAGATACAAAATGAAGGACTTCAGAAAAGTTAAGCAAACAAAATGATTACTAAAAAGATACAGAAGCCCCACTTTAACGTTATATAAACAGAAATCTGCTTATATGGTTTTTACTTTGTCTGTTTTGATGACAAAGATAGTTTTTCTTCAGTGGTAGTGGAAGTATTCAGATCCTTTAAGTTATACTCTAAGGTACATACAGTGAATATACTCCACTATAAAGAAAAGTCCTGCCTTCAACAACATATTTAAGCAAAAAGTATGCGTGTATAATAAGGAAAATGTACTTCAAAAGTCAACTTAGTACTGACATTTCCCAGAGAGTAGCGAGCGTTCCAGCGAGGGTAGTTTGAGCGTATTATACGAGTCCTGCGGTAAAAGGAACCGTACCACATTTTAGCGTACCTGTGAAAACATGGAAATATAAGTCAATTACTCTCAGTATTTGTGTCAGTCTAAATTACAATTACTGGGACTTCTCTCTGAATCTTGCTCTCTACTTACGATTCAGTTCTGCCCCACCAATCTCCTTTCAGATTCCAGGCTCGGACGATGGTCACCACCAAGTTTCCCCTCCAGGTCTGTTTGGGACAGCAGTTGTAATCTAGGTTTGGGACGCTGCGGCACGTTGGTGGACTGACTGACTTCTTGATGCTGTTGTCTTTCAAGTAGTCCTCTATGGCGGCCTTCAATCCTGTCCTTCGTGAAGTGTCCGACACCAGCTGGTACAGTGGTCTCAGGGAATACCAAACAACATCAGGGTGATCTTTGAGAGTTTTCAGCCAATTTAGGAAGCCCAGGGAGTTGTTATGGGTGAGAGAAAACTCACCGGTCCAACCCTTGCCTCCTATCACCTCTGTATAGTGTTGGTGGAGACCAGAGCTGAACGAAGCGGAGACGTCCTGGTTGTGTAGCACTTTGCTGCATGACGTAGAACTAGCAGAACGTTTGACTTTCCCCAGGCCTACATTTAGACCTATTGATAAGCAAGAATGCACCTAAATAAGGAAGAAAGAATGAACACTATTATACTATTGACCTCTCTAAAGGAAGGAAGGGGATATCAGATGTTATTTGTAGGACATGGAGGATTTATGAATGTATTTGATTGGGTTTATGTGCGACACACACCTGGTTCGATGACATGCCATTCAAACTGGACAAGCAGGTTCGTGAAGCCGTGACTCGCCTGACACGTCCCCCAAGATTGACCTGAAATGATATGCAGTAGATTATTGTTAAGAATGAAAAACTTATTTGTGGAAAGTAGGAACAAAGAAGTGTGTGTGTGTGTGTGTGTGTGTGTGTGTGTGTGTGTGTGTGTGTGTGTGTGTGTGTGTGTGTGTGTGTGTGTGTGTGTTCTTACCAGGCGGATATAATGCGTGCCGTAGATGCTTATGAGATGTCTGTACTGGGTCTTGGTGGAGGGGCTGTATGAACTTGGCAAATTCGCTAAATCCTTGCTAAACTCAGTGCTGAGGGGAGGATTGCTCGACAAGCGGTAACTAAACACAAAAAGAAGACTGAGTTAATAAACGTTGGATGCAAAACTAAATGAAAAAGATTCTGTGTTGACGCTCTATACCTGTAATGGCGACAAGAGGCCCGGTGGGTGCTGAAGGCGGAGCGGTCCTCTCGGATCCGGGCTGTAGCAAAGCTGTACGCGCTGGATCGTGTTCCCCCCACCTCCAGACTGGAGTCCCTAAAAGTTAGTCCAACCTGATTTAACAAACATGATTTAACATTAGTATTACGATATGTAGGCCCGCATTTCTTTCAACAAAAACTGTGACAATGTCCTACCTTCCAGTCCGAACTGTCCTGGGAGGTGAAAGTGCTGAGCAGGGAGCTATGGATGCATAAAATATGTTGAGTTCACTTATTGAAAATAAATAGCCAACAAAATAAAATGGGTGGATGTTGAGGTATTGAGTAAACTTTGAAATATGAAACAGGTTACAACTTGGGCTTTTTAAGATCTGCTTGAATGTGTACTTCTGTAAATTGTAATACTTTTTATTGTAAATACTATGTGCATGTCTCTAATAGTGACCTATTTTCTTTGTCTATATACTTTGCTGTAACAATGTACATTTCCGCTTTGTGGGACGAATAAAGGAATTCTGATTCTGATTAAGGCGTTAGCACTCGCAATCAATCTGGAAACCTTAATGCATAAAAAAAAGAATCACAACGTAAATTAACCAGATCCAAAGTTGTTTACCATAAGTAGAAAGCACATTTTTGAGTTGATTTAACCGATCATTTTTGATTAACTCGGATTATTTTGCAGATCAAGTAAGCACCAATTAAAAGTTTAAATATAACTCAACTCATTTCGGTGGTTTATTCATACGTGTGTCTTTGGAAATATGTAAACTCAAAAAACATTTGCATTTTTTAAAATCATCTTAAAGGTCCCATGTCATGGCCATTTCTTCTGATCATAATTCCATTGTTGAGGTCGACTAGAATAGATTTATATTGTGCAATTTTCCAAACTCACATTGGTTTCTCATACAGCATCTCTGTATAGTATGTGTATTCACTCTCTGTCCTACACGGCTTGTTGGAGCTCCTCCGTTACGTCACAATACCCGAATTACGTCACTATACCCAAGAAGTAAACAATGGAAAAAGCGAAATCTCCAACGAGGCGTTCTGGGGCAGCATAGACAGGTCTTTTCTGTGTTAGAGTTGTACTCGCTACAGGGTGTACTTTGAGGGTTTGTGACTCTGCAGACCGTTTACATGCAGAAAAACCTTCATAACACACAAGGTGACGGGTAATAACCAGAAAAGCATGACATGGGCCCTTTAAGAGAATAAGCACAATCAGTTGCCTTACATTTTTGGAGTCCTGGTAACTTTTGTGGGTTTACAGTGTGATGAATCACAGACTATTATTGTGATTAATGCAGTCAAAAAAATATTCTTCTAGATTGACATATTTAAATATATTATAATAATATCACTTTGTGTCACAGAATACCTGACAGTGTAGTGTACACTGCTGAAGAGAAACGTGTAGCAGCGGCTGAACGCTCGCCAGTCCACTGCAGAGACCGGCAGCTGTGAGGTGAAACCAAGTAAACATGTCAACAATATATCACCGTTTTCTGCAGTATGTGTAAGTGTGCTTTTGTGCTGGTGTTTCTTTAAATTACTTTCTGGAGTATGTTGCCTTGATTGGGGTTTCTGCAGAGTTTACAGGTGCCAGCGGGGGTCATGTAGGTCTTCACGTCCACCACGTAGGCTCCTTTTCGCCTCAGGGTCACCACATCGAAGCCCTCCCCCACCAGGTTATGTCCCGGGACGAAGGGGGCCGCCTGACACTGGCTACTAGTCCCAGTCTGACAGGAAAGAACAGAGGAGGACAGAAAGAGGAGGACACTCAGGTGGAGGAGGGGTGGGGTTGGAAAGAAGAGCATGGCTGGAGTCCAAAGAGACACTGAAAAAATTCAGAGACAAAGAGAGAAGAAATGAAAATCTGTGAGACTTATTTCTGAAAGTATCAATGAAGCTGACAAGAAGTGCAATGCAGGCAAACCTTTGGGATAATTTCTGTTTGAACATCTTCATTCATTCAAGCAGAAATTGTTTTGTAGAAAACTTTAATTAAATATGTTTTATTTTAAGTTGACAGAGGAGTGCATATATTTAGTATTTTAAATCATCCTATCATGATGATGGTTTCTCAATAACAGAAAACATTAAGATGATGAAGCACTTTACAGTTTCTACTTAACTTGCGTTTTACCCTTTTTCCACGATGCACTGGAGATGTGTCTACCCCTCAATTTATTTGAACAATTCTGTTAATTTTTTCCGGTTTTATTCCTAATACAAGTTCAATAAAGTGAGTGTTATGATGTGGTTAGCAGAAGTCAAACCTATGCAGATGCCAGTGCAGGTGCAGTATTGCATTTAAGCTGAAATATAAAAACATTAACTTAATTGGTGATTAAGTCAATACAAATGTAGGCATCAGTAACTCAACATATAACACAAAAAAGAGGTAATAGTGACATATTTCATATGCATTTTTCAGTTCAAACAATTACAGTTGTATTTATTATTTAATAATAACATGAATAAAGAAATCAAAATTATCAAAAAGCTGTGAGGTAGCTGAAATATCAGACATAAATCTCAAAATATTGACAGACTTTCATCCAAAGCAAACTTACTTTTGTTAGAAAGACTTTTTAAATGTTAAATGTAAAGGTGGTAGCATTATTACATGAAAACCAGATTACCTGTTGGAGCCTCAGCAGGGTTTCTGAAATACTTCTGCAGCGGGAGATGGAGAGGAGGAGATGGTGTCTGTCAGCCGGGGGTGACACAGTGGAGTCTGCAGGTAGCGGCACTTTTATACAGAAGGTTACGTGAGAAATTCTGGAGACGGAAATATTATTCTTTGCCGATGGGAGTTTTTTTTGGACGTGCCAAAATATACAAAACAGGACTAACCTCTTTGGGTGGATGGGGCTAAAAAAAATATATCTGACTTTGCCAAGATTCTTTCTTGATGAGTGTCCAAATCTATCATGCCCTTTGGTGCGTTTGAATTTCAGATTTCGGGGGATCTGCATACATTACCCTTATCAGAGGAAGTGTGTTAAAACCCCTCGTCCCAAAAGTAACCCAGCAAAATTTCGAGATCAAGCCAGTTTATTTAAAACTCATTTAAAAACATGGCTGGTTAGCAATCAGCTCCATCAACACTAACACTGTATCTTTCTGAACAGCTTTAGCAGTGGCTATCTTTGTAATATGTATGCTTTACATTATTGTTTTTTATTAGCATCTCCAATATTGTGAGCCTTTTCGTTGCATGTTTATACTGATTGTATTAACTTGTCATTGTACATTTAATTTGTTTTCAGGGTGATTTTAACATCTGTCCAGGGACTACAGATGACAAATTATCTCTTGGCTCACTCACGCATTTACAGACATTTCTATCAATGCCCCTGTTAAATAAAAATAAATAAAAATAGTGATAAACGTTTCAAAAGTCACCGTGATCGAGGTAGTTAACACAAGGATTAAGTAACACACACACACACACACACACACACACACACACACACACACACACACACACACACACACACACACACACACACACACACACACACACACACACACACACACCCATATGAACACACTGATACCACACAGGGTGGGAATTTCACGACGGCCACGACGGCCATGGCCGTCGTTGCCCCGCACTTTGGCCGTGATGCCCTGTGAAAAAAAATGCAATTCACGGCCAAAGTGGCCTTGGTGCCCCTGTCAAAAGTTCCAGTGTAAACAACGCTAGTAAAGTCATATTAGTGCGCGCAGTAGGATAGTCCCGGGCGATGCCTGTGCCCTGTGGATCAGAGCGATTGCTCTGCTGTGATTGTTCCGTCAGAAATGCCTGTGGGGGCCCGACAGCCTCCTCCTCAGCCGCGGGAGCAAGACAAGCACAGGTAAGCAAGCGGACCAAGCTGTTTTGATATGATTTAACTGAAGTATGTGGTAGTATTTGAAAGGACTTAACATTTACGTGTTTATAGAAAGTACTATTGATAGGTAATTACCATTGTATTAGCCTATTTAAAGTTGACTCGTTACATTTTGTCATGAAAACTAGCGATAGCTAGCTAGTTTGGATAGCGCTAACGTCTTCCCTTCAAGGGGTCTACATCTAGTGTTGCTTCTACAAGCTAGCAGATAGCTGTCACCTTTGAATCTAGTATTTTTCTTGCTAAGCGGTTTTGATATAATACATGACTGACTTATGTGGTTTATGGCTGAACTTAACGTATACGTTAAAGAAACACTATTGCTATTCAGCCATTTGTAAAACGACTGGTGTTGACGTTAGTGCTACACTTTTCAGTCATGTTGATTGACCAGCGTAATTTAACCAAACGGCCTTTGTGCCCTGTCATGTGGCCTTTGTGCCCTTGAAAAAAAATGTGAACGGGAAGGCCAAATGGCCTTGCCCCTAAAATGACGAAATTCCAAGCCTGCCACTCAATGTAACTTCCTGGTGTTCTTGTGTCACATGGTTTAGAAGAAGTCCCATCATGAAAGAACAGTGTGTGTTTGTCCATTGGATTAAGGGTGTGTATTTTTAAAGGGTTTTAAAGTTGTCAAATGAAGTATTTTTTCTGGCATCACAAGGACAACTATTTTTAGACAAGTAACAAGGAAACAGATATTTACCATAACATTACGATCACTGAAGAGAGACATGCTTAAAGTTCCCATGTCATGCTTTTCTGGTTATTACCCATCCCCTTGTGTGTTATGTAGGTTCAGGGTTTCCCACACATAGACTATACTTGGGCGGGCCGCCCAGGTATATTAACGGCCGCCCAAGTATATTTCGCGACCCATTTTGTTTTTTGTTTTTTGTTTATAAATTTTTTTTTTTATTCGTCCGTGACCACGACGCCATCTGCGATCGATTAACTTGTAGACAATGATCCCTCGCTCCCTTGCTCTGATCTCGCCTCCTTCTGGCCTGTTAAGTGGCCTGCCTCACACAGGGTGACTGGCTATCCACATGATGTGGCCTGCCGACATGGCCACTGTCATACAGATCATAAATCAAAGCCCTTGATTGGTCTCTGTGTGTCATTCAAGCTCGGGATAACCTCAGCTCAGGTGAGGTAAAGGACTCTCTGAGTGTTTAGATAGTTAACTTAGTCTAAGTTCTCAGTGGGTCTCAAACGGTGTGGTCACCATTTATGTAAACACATATTTCCATTTGAGAGGGTAGTGATTGGTCTAATGAAGAGTGAGGTGGGCTGAAGATCGGAAGGCTGTGAGTTCAAATCCCGCCAGGAACACCACCACTAGTGTGCCCTTGAGTAAGGCACTTAGCCCTTAGTTACTCCAGGGAGAATGTCCCTGTAATCGGTCATTATAAGTCGCTTTGGATAAAAGCGTCAGCTAAATGAAATGTAATGTGATTTGTAAAATATGCATGAATAAATAAATAAAAAGTTAACTAGGTGAAAAAAGGTAAGATACACTTTTAAAACTTGTTGAGAGAAAACTAGTCTTTGCTGCTGCCTCAAAGAGGAGAGGGGGGAGAGGAGGGAGACAGGAGAGGCTGATTCAGGAGCTCAGACACACTCACAACTATAAATGAACCAAAAATAAATTAACAAGTTTCAGTGTTTTTTTCATATTGGAAATGGTATGTTATTGGTTATGGCCATGATTTTATGATTATTGAAATGTATACAGTTCTGTTTAATATAGGTGTTTCCATAGATCTAGTCTCTTTATTTCCCCCTCAAAATGCACCAGATTGATGCATTTAACTCCAAAATAAAAAATAAAATCTTACCGGGGGGGCATGCCCCTGGACCCCCCTAGAGGATTTGAGGTCGACCCCCACTAAAAATCACATGGATAGGTTCCTAAATACATTAATAAATACATTAATTTTTTTAAATAGTAGCCCATTTCCATATGTTCATGTGTGGGTGGTAGATTTAAACTATAGGGCTATCATTATGGACCCTGCCTGTACCTGTACCTGTTCGCTCTGCCATCGCGTGAAGGGTCTGCTAACAAGCGACCAACAGAAAGGTTAATGTTGTTGCACGTCACCTCAACCCCCCCCCGCTACCACCACCCCCCAAAGTATATTTCAGATCTGTGGGAAACACTGGCAGTTAATGGACCAGCACCAGAGGCATTCCCATACACACAGGCGTTGGAGCTGTTCTTCATGAAATCCCAGAAGGATGAAGTGCTCTGACAAACAGTGCCATCTTTGCGCAAAATGATTATACCGGAAACTTTTTTTTTTTCCCGCGCACCCCCCCCCCCCCCCCCCCCCCCCCCCCCTCCTTGCCACCACCCGCCCAAGTATATTTCATATCTGTGGGAAACACTGAGGTTTGTATGCATGTAAACGGTCTGCAGAGTCAAAAACCCGCAAAGTATACCCTGTAGCGAGTAAAACTCTAACACAGAAAATACCTGTCTATTCAGGCTGAGTTTCGCCGTGTCTCGCTGTCTCGCAGCAACCAGGAAACGACACCAGTAATCCAGCTCACACTGTCGGCTCCTCGAGTCTCAAAGGGCGGAGCAGCGAGCCCTGCAAAGTCCCGCCAACACGGCACCCAGACCCCACGCAGCATTCTCATCTGTTTGTCATTACTGGTGTCATTTTCTGGTTGCTAACAAACGCCGTTGTAACACATAATCACTGATGTTCCACTGTAACGGTGGTGGACTCATCAGAACAGAGTGGGCGAGCTGACCAATCAGCTTCATATAATCAGCTCATGATGCGTGTCCATCTTTTTAACCAATTACATTTGACCACAATCTCCAGCAGCCAATCATCGTGCTTCAGTCAAACTTTTAAATTGTTCTCCTCTCTCCTGCAGTCAGCTGTAATTTCCAGGCCTTTTTCTCAAAGGGTTAACCTACAACTTGGTGGAGCAGTTTTGACTTTAAAGGGGTGAACACACAACTGCAAGTCCATCTTCTATTTTGTCTGTTTCTAATTTGCAACCAAATAAATATTTGACCCATGATAGCCTACGTTTGAATCTGTGATTTTGAGGGAAACGCACAGACATCAAACCTTCAGAAGAGGTGTGGGACGTTAGTGCAGTCAAGGTGATAAGCATAAGCAAGGACTACGTCAACAACATTTGGATCTATAAATAAACCCCAATGTACATTCCAGGTGTTCCAGCATGTCACATGACTTACAAGAAATCACATCATAAAATAACTATGTTTGCTTGGCAGGGTGAACATGGGTGTGAATTTTAATGAATGTTTCTAAAAATTAAAAAAACACACGCCAGAAAACTATGTTGAATGGGAAAGTGAAAATGTAAAAAGATGTATCAAACAAAAATGTAATCCTCCTTAATGGTAGGAATATTCTTCACAAATATGTTGTGACCAATTGTTGTTTTGGAACAAAAAATGTAATTAATATATTTTAAATGTATTTAAAATTAATACAATATTCAGAATGAATCAAACAAACCTGCAGGGTTGAGGTGTTAACAGATCTTATTTACTTTCTTCTATATGTTGTGTAATTGCTGTTGTCTAAATGCTTTGTTTGATAGTTTGAATGACCCAAATCCATTGCATTGTACAAAAGACAAAAACACAGCTGTTTTCATTCGTTTCAGTCCACCTTTCATTTAATATGAAATATTTTGAAAACAATTCAGCATTCTTTGTTGAAAAGTCAGACATGTTGATTCCTAATCCAAACCAGATATTAGTATTACTAGTCTGGAAAGTAAGACACAGCTCTTTTTATTAGAATGATGCACTTCTTCCATTGTATACAAATATTATTATTATCAGCCTTTTTTCTTTTAGTCTCCATTTAAATTTAGACACAATGACATTCATTTTGACTTTAAAATGGATGACTAAATGTGATTTCAGTTTGAATTGAAAAGGTAAACAAGCAGAATTTCTGAATAGTGAAGCCCCATACTTCCTTCCTCACTTTGGAGACGGTTTGTAGCGGTTGCACCTGTCTCCGGTCAGGTGAGGGTCGCAGGTCAGGGTGTACTGGAACTCGAAGCCCCCTTTTTTGGCCGGACAGGAGTGCCTGTGTGTCCCCTGTCTCAGGTACACCACACATGATCCCAGATGGTCGTCAAAGTTTAAATCCTCGTCCCAGACCTCGACCCTCAAACCCCCATGTGTGTCCACCTTCGCAAAAAAAAAAGGAATGATTATATCGGTTATTGAACTAACATTTAAAGGTCACTTATTGTCTTTTATACATCAACATGTGTCCCCTCTGTGTAAACAGATTCTGAAAGTTTCAGGAAAAAAGATTCTCTCTTTTTGTTCTGATCCATTTCTATAAAAACCTGTCTGAAAATGAGCTGATCAGATTTTGGCCACTTTATGATGTCATAACGATGTTTTTGCTTGTGTAACAACTAACTCAGGCAGAAAACACCCAATGTAATCACTCTGATACCCCCACAAATATAAAAAGAAAAGAAAAAGGAGTAATGCTACAGTGGGCCAATGTTGTTTACAGTAAATATATTCTGTTACAACAGTGTTTCTCAAACTTTTTCATACCAAGGACCACTTAACCAATAAAAAAACACTCGAGGACCACCTAACTCCACAAATATCCAAAAACACATCGTTTTTTACAAATCGCCTGAAAATGGTACAAACAAGTGGCAACATGCGTGATGAAGGTGTTTATCTGGGCTATATCATGCAATCGAAAGTGAAACTTAAGCTTGCTCCATTGCGGAGATATTCCCGCGAGAGTGCGAAAAACTTAAATTACTTAATTAATTTCAAATGTGAAATGTTACCAATATACTCACGGACCACTAGGGGGCGCTCACGGACCACCAGTGGTCCGCGGACCACACTTTGAGAAGCACTGTCAAGAATCATTTATAATTAACTTATTGATTACAATTAGTGATGCATTGTTATGTCCCAAGTGTAATGTTGCAACTAGTAAAGGATTAGCTAATGTCTTTATATGCTGCTGGGTAGTTCATCTATTATCAATAGGTTTAAAAGTTATAAATAATAGTAATTAGTTATGTATAAAACAGATCCAGAGTTTGCAGATGCTAACAGCTACAACAACTCACTAACAGATCAAACCTGGGTGTAGGAGCCAAAATGCTTGTTTTGCCATTGCTTATTATTTCTATTATTATTATCTTAATTTCAGTTTACACCACGTTTTATTCTTATTGGTTATTACTTCCGGCAATCGTCACATGAATGGGGTTTATTGGTATTTAGTCACCTGTGGGATGTCGGTTTCGTGTATAACGAAGAGGAGAGTTTTGAATTGCTCCGACACTTTCTGTTGACCGTGTGGTCCGGACTTGGATATTGTTTGTTGTGTCTTTATTAACCTTCCTATTGTCTTTGATTCCCCCCCTTACTTTGGTGTTCACGGTCAAATTTGACCCGCCCTGTTTTAACTGCTATTACATTAACACAAAAACCATTAATCATCACCAAATTTAATTTAACACCATTGTGTTAATATTGGCTGTAAATATTGTATCAGACTACTGGTATACATGAAAAACTGCAGTAAATATACAAAGAACAGACACTGAACATGTATTGTGTGTGCCAGGTGTGATCCATGTGGGGGGATGGGCACATAAGAGCGGGAAATGTGTCAAATTGTTCTGTTTGTGTGTGCCAGGTGTGATTCACATCACACATGGGCACATAAGGGGGGGGAACACATCTAGAGTGTGTGTGTGTGTGTGTGTGTGTGTGTGTGTGTGTGTGTGTGTGTGTGTGTGTGTGTGTGTGGTGTGTGTGTGTGTGTGTGTGTGTGTGTGTGTGTGTGTGTGTGTGTGTGTGGGTGGGTGGGTGGGTGGGTGGGTGTGTGTGTGTGTGTGGGTGTGTGGGTGTTTGATCTGATCCGGATGGTTACTAATTCCTTTTCTTCATGGCGGTCATTTTTGTCCGGGAACACCATGGGCGTTACAAAGTTGACTAAATCATCCTAAATTCAATGAAAGTGGTGATCAGCATTTTGTATGTTCAAATGTCTACTGTGAAGGATATCATGAAGCCTTAATGCAATCGAATGTAAAGCAAAAAAGTTATGATTGATGAAAGTAGTAAATCGGTCAGATTTGACCCGAAGACAACAGGAAGGTTAAACACCATGACTTTTAACTACAGTACGGACTCTCGTATCGAACACGTCACAACGAAGAGCAAGTTTTAGCCTCTCAGCTTGGTATTGTATAAACTCTTCAATAAACAAACTAAACTGCATCCAAACAACTGAAAAATCACCTGTTTTTGTCCGTGTAAAGATCCCTCTCACCTCTCACCTGTGTAACAATGCCAACCGGAATATAGGACATTGGAACACCTGACATTTATATTTGGTATTAATAACCAAAATCTGCAAGCAGCTATAGGAACATCTGCTGTAAAATAATTGCCAAAATGTAATGGAAGTATTTGTGTATTTGTACAGCAAAGAAGAAACATAGAGTTCTTTATCGTAAATGTAGTTCGATACATTTCACCGCTGGTAATGAGCAGATTTACCGACCTTGCCCAGGTTATAATAAGAGTTCCACCAGGGGTCGTTTGACCGGATCATGTGAGTCCTGTAGTGGAAGGATCCGTAGAACATATTAGCATAGCTGTGAGACAACAAATGAAAAAGCACCAGGGGAATTAATACCACTGTTCACAGGAATATAAAACAACATAGCGAAATAACATACATCCTCTGATAAAAAACTGAATACAAATCGAGAAAATGTGTCTAAAGATCCAAGGAATGCAACTCAAAGAATATAGAAAACTTAATTACAAACCCACTTTTATTGTTTAGTTTTAGTTATAAAGTTCAAATAGCTAATTGAAGATTCAAGTAAATGGCGCCCTACATTGAGATTGATCCTCTTACGTCTTTTCAGTTGCCTCTTTTTTGTATCCTGATTACAAAATCCCATTATCAGAGGTGGAGTACAAATACTTTGTTACTGTACTTAAGTACATTTTTCTGGTATCAGTACTTTTTACTTTTACTTCTTACATCTTTAACCCAAATACCTGTACTTTCTACTTCTATTATTATTTAGAGTCATTGCGTGCCTATTGATTGATAACACGATCCGCGTATTCATCATGTCCTGGTCTTCTCTAAAGAAGAGGGACCTGCTTATAATGGACAGAGATGGCAAAAGTACACACATCCTTTACTTAAGTAGAAGTACAGATACTCGTGTTTAAAAATACTCTGGTAAAAGTACTGACTAAACTTCTTTACTCAAGTAAAAGTAAAGAAGCAAGAGCTTTGAAATGTACTTAAGTAAAAAGTACCCATAGCTACCAGCTGTTTTAAAGAGTACCTGACTTCCCTTTATATTAATAGAACAATAATGTCATTGTTAGCTAATGAATGTTTCCATGCTGAACAACGGCAACATGACAACGTTTTCATTGGTCCCTCTTCTTTAGAGAAGACCAGGAAATGATGGATACACGGATCGTGTTGAAATCAATAGGCACGCAATGACTCTAAAGAATAATGATCACGCCGCCAAACACACATTCAGACTAAAGGAACCAGCTGTTTGGAAAATGTGAGAAGTAGAAAGTACAGGTATTTGAGTTCAACATGTAAGAAGTAAAAGTAAAAAGTCGTAAGAAAAATAAGTATTGGAGTAGTACTGATACCAGAAAAATGTACCTAAGTATAGTAACGAAGTATTTGTACTCCACTACTTCCCACCTCTGATTATAAGCCCAGCTGTTTGATAAACCAGCTCCAGGTCTCGATGCCCCTCCTCACCTCTCCGTCCTGCCGGTCAGATCCCCTTTCAGGTTCCAGCCTCGAATGATGGTCACCTCCAGCTTTCCCCTCGAGGCCTTTTGAGGACAGCAGTTGGGGGCCAGGTTAGGTGTGCCCCCCCCACAGTTGGTTACTATGGAGGACTTATTCACAGCATTGTCCTCTAAATACTGCTCTATGGCGGCCTTCATCCCCGCCCTCTCTCCAGGGGCATCAGCTCGTACATCGGCCTCAGGGAGTATGAGACCACGTCCGGGTGCTCCTTGAGGGAGTTCAGCCAGTTCACGTAGCCCAGGGAGTCGTTACGGGAGAGAGAAAAGTCCCCCAACCAACCGGAGCCTCCCATCACCTCTGTGTAGTGTTGGTGGAGGCCGGAGCTGAATGAGGTGGAGACGTCCTTGTTCTCGAGCACGTTGCTGCACGATTTATGGCTGGCTGATAAACTGACCTTCCCCAGACCCACAGAGACTCCTACTGAGAGGCAGGAGTGGACCTGAAGGACAGGAGGAGCACAAAGATGGGATTTATAGTGGGTGAAGGGATGTAATTAAGCACATTTACTTAACTACTGTAGTTAAGTACTTCTACTTGAATACTTCAATGTTATGCTCCTTTTTTCTTCTACTTCGCTATATTTTGGAGGCGAATAATTTTCTTCTGCTCCACTAATTTACTTGACAACTCAATTACTAGCTACTTTGTCTTTGAGTTATACATACATAACAAATTAAACATAATTATTATTAGAAGTTAAACTACTTAACACATATTGATGTTTTGAGCATATACAATCATGACCACTTTTACCAACTGCACCATTAAAGTATATAATGCATCACTGGTTATAAATCACTAATATGAAGTATATAATATGTACTTTCTGTACTTCAAGTATATTACATTACATGTTAGACGCTTTTATCCAAAGCGACTTACATACTCAATACTGTGGGCAATCCCCACAGGAGCAATTTGGGGTGAAGTGTCTTGCCCAGGGACACAACGACATGCTGACTGCAGTGGGGTTTGAACCTGTGCTCCCCTGATCCGAACACCAATGCACTAGTCCACTGCGCCACAGCATCCCTTATATTTTTGATGCTATTACTTTTGTACTTTCACCTAAGTATGATTATGAATAGAATATTTACCTAAATGAATATTGCTGCATATTGCTTTCACCACTGTTTAGAGTTAATTGTCAATGGACTGCATTTACCAAGACTGTTGCCTTTTTAGTGGGACACTTGAATGTTAATTGTATTGCATATCTACGGCGGCCGACAGGTGCAAAACCTGCTAAAGTGCTATGACGTCCCAAAACACTTCCATTAGGACACACACGCGGCAGATTCAAAGAAAAAACCCACAAATGTTCCAAAATACAAAACACATGCAAATGAAGAAACATCTCCATTGTTTGCACCTGTCGGCCACCATACATTGCCTCACACTAACACACATTCATACTCCAATAGTGGCAGTGATTTGTTTCTGTGCAGACTGTAAAGACATGTGGGTTTTTTGTACCTCATTTGAGGTGAGTCCGTTCAGAGTGGACAAACAGGTCCGTGAAGCTGTGACTCGCCTGAGTCGCCCCCCGAGGTAAACCTGAATGTAGCACAATGTTGTGGAGACAAAAAAACATGGTTTTATAAAATGTTCCCTTTATTATTTACGCACAAAACAGAAAAATAACGACACCAAGTCAAATTCCTCGTACGTGTAAACCTACCTGGTAATAAACCTGTTTCTGATTGAAATGTATGTGTGTGTGTGTGTGCCTGCGTGCGTGTGTATGTGTATGTGTGTGTGCGTGTGTGTGTGTTTACCTGGCGGATGTAGTGAGTGCCGTAGGTGTGTATGAGATCACTGAACTGAGTCCTGGTGTAGGAGTTGTAGGAACTCGGCAGCCTCTCCAAGTCTTTACTGAACTCAGAGCTGAGGGGCGGTCTGAGGGACACACGGTAACTACACACAAAGACACAGATTAGTTCATTTTCTTGACAAACTTGAATCCAAACTCCTGGGTGTTTCAGGAGTGTTCACAGCGTACCCATAGTGGCTGCAGGTGATCCTGTGGGTGCTGAAGGAGTAGCGGTCCTCTCTGGTTCTTTCTGAAGAGAACTTATACACTGAGGACTTGGTTCCTCCCACCTCCAGCCCCGCAGTCACAAACTTGTCGACATTAAGGCCAACCTGAAATATGAAATAAAAGCTGCTTTATGTCAACCTATAATCATCAGCATGATATACAGTAATGTATTGAAGTCGTTTTTAGGGTTGCAAAATTCCGGGAATTTTCAAAGATGGAAACTTTCCATGGCAATTAACGGCAATTAACGGGAATTTATGGGAATGTATGGGAATAAACTGGGCATTTTCTAAATTGAAGGTTGGCTCTTCATAGGGAACTTAAATATAGTTGGGGAAAGTATATTTTATCATAATCTTGACTAAAACAAACAGATGCCATTCAAGTACACTTGAATATCCATGCCATAGCACACTGCTTACTGCATGGCTATTGAGACCACACAAAGGTTCGCAACAGGCTCACAAATGTGAGAGTGGAAAAACTGGTTGGCATTCGGGCAAACCTAAGGCTCTCTGAGCCTGACACAGAGCCATCCTCAACAAGGCTGGACAGTGACACTGCAGAGGAAGACTCAGAGGTGGATGTTGATGAGGCCCAGGAAGAGCCCATTGACTGAAAGGGTTTAGCCAAAATGCAGAGGATTGCTTGAAGGAAGATTTTAATGTGTAATGGGACTGTTTGGAGGGAGAAGGGCTCTTTTCATTTAACATTTAGAATGGGACTTTGTGGGGATTTTTGGATGGGGGGTGCATTTTTGTTCATTTTTTAATGAGTGGGGTTGAGGGGGATGAGTAATATTTAACTCAACATTCCTGTTTTTGTTCTTCAATGAAACAAATAATTGTTCAATAAAATAATTAAAACTTGTTCTGTTCTACTTAACATGAAAAAAAAAATGAAAGAAAATCTGTTGAAATGTCATGTTTTTTGTTTAATTTTGCATTGAATATTTCCAAAATTCCCCAGCTTAACTTCCCATGGAAACTTTCCGGAAATGTACCGGAAATGTTCAATACATTATTAGTTCGCAATACACTACTACTGGAAGTATCACAGCTGATTCAAAATTATATGAACCATAAAACACATTTAATACAATGTATGTCATACTGTGTATATATGTATCGTATATGGGCAGCAATGTACTTTAACCATATCATTGTTGTTGTAAGATAAAATAAGATAAGATATACTTTATTGATCCAAATTCGGGAAAACATTTTGTTATACAGCAATATGTGTTTTTTCCCCAAAACTTATGTGTCTCTTTTTCCCCCAAAAAAGAGACACATTTCAGTTGTTAAATAAGAGGAAAAAAAGATATACAGTATATACACATATACACATTTACTGTATATATATATATATATGCAAACTAAATATATTATTATGTTAATGTCAGTTAACATTAAGTCGATGTCCTTGTAATTATCAGATGTGAGAAGTTTTCTACCTTCCAGTCGTTACTGTCCTGTGAGGTGTACGTGTGAACCAGTGAGCTGTGGACACAATTTAGAATTAGATTTGAATGCTTATTAATTTTAAAGTTTCTTTCAGGTCAGATCTGTAAAGTGTAAAAAAATACTCAGTTAAAGTGCAAACTTCAAATGAAGAAATTGTACTTAATTACATTCTACCAATGAGTGCTTTGATACCTGACGTCGGTGTGTGAGCTGCTGTAGAGGTCAGCGTTACACCGGCTGAACGCTCGCCAGTCCACTGCAGAGACCGGCAGCTGAAACAGAAAATGCACCATGTTTATTATTCAGTATTGCAACTGTAAAAGCTCCTTATTGTTTACTCTATTACTTTCTGCAGCTGGTGGCCCTGAAGGGGGTTGGAGCAGAGCGTACAGGTGCCAGCGGGGGTCATGTAGGTCTTCACGTCGATCATGTAGGCTCCTTTACGCTGCAGGGTGACCACATCGAAGCCCTCCCCCACCAGGTTATGTCCCGGGACGAAGGGGGCGGTGTGGCACTGGCTGTAGTTCCCAACGCCACAGGAGAGGACAGAGGACGACAGAAAGAGCAGGACACTCAGGTGGAGGGGGGAGGAAAAGGAGAGCATGGCTGGAGTCAAAGAGAACCTGAAAGACAAAGAGAGAATCAGAATAACTTTATTCGTCCCACAGAGGGGACATTTACATTTGTTACAGCAGAAAAGAACCAAAGACAGCTTAATGTTTCCTAAGAAGCATGCATACACAAATATTTGTATTACACAATTTACAAAATACACATCCTGTAACAGTTTTGAAGATGTAGCAGCCAGGTATATATTGCACAGTTATTAACGGCATATATATATATATTGCACATCATTTGTATTTCACAACAAGGGGTGTTATAGCATAGTTTGTGTTGTTGTGTGTGTGGGGGTCTAGTAGGGGCTCCATAGTTTCTCTTGGAATAAAATCACACTGTACGTGTCCTCACTAACACTAAAAGAGTGGATCACATCAGTCCGGTTCTGAAATCTCTACATTGGCTTCCAGTACTATTGCTAGCTTTTAAATCATTACATGGTTTAGGACCAAAGTATATTGTTGAACTCCTACATAATTAGGAGCCATCAAGGTGCCTCAGGTCTTCTGGGACGGGTCTGCTATCGGCTCCGAGAGTAACAACAAGACATGGAGAGGCAGCATTTAGCTGTTATGCCCCGACACTCTGGAACAAACTACCCAAATCATGAACGTCCGCAGAAACGCTTACTATTTTTAAATCGAGACTAAAAACATATCTCTTTGCCACTGCTTTTAATTGAGATGATCATATTCGAACTACAGTATGCCTTTTAAACATGTATTGTATACCTGTGGTGTTTCTTTTTATTATGTTATTATCTTTGCTTTGTAATGCCTGTTGTAAAATGCCATTATATGTGTTTTTACTGTATTTCTAAAAAGTATTTTAATTTGTTTTGTAAAGCACTTTGAATTGTCGCGTACAGAAAAGTGCTATATTGTACATTTTACATTTATATATTGAGTAAATATTTAATATTCCATCCGTCACATACTTATGTAAATATAATACCTTGCTTTATATCTTGTTATTGTTAATTTGTAAATTCAACATGTATATTTTCTACTTTCTTGTTTATTTCTTGTCTTTTAATTTGTATTGTATAATGCCAAGTCTTTTTATGCTGCTGCAGCACAAACATTTCTCAAATTGGGACCAATAAAGTACTATCTTATCTTATTTGTTATATAGAATAGAAAAGATACATTGCTATGTGAGCGTTTGTCACGTCAGCAGGAAACAGATGTATTAACTCTATCCGCAACGTCTTCAAACCCCTCGGTCCAATTGACAAATTTAACAATAATTTATTTTAGTCGCGGTGGGACATTGTGAGCCAATGCCTGTCCAAAAGAGCCTTGGCGCCCCCAACAAACGCTAGCCTACATCGATCTTACTACATCTGAATAATGCCCTTTAAAAAGCAGGAAAACACTGCACCACTGACTGAAGAGCAGGTTTCTTAGAGAATGTGGCAATCATTTTAACACCAGTGGTTCCATCTGTGTTCCTTAAAGGTGGGGTCGATAATTCAGCAAGTGTCTCATATTAGAAGTTTGAATCGTCTTAGTATTGTTCTGGGTGAATTAAAGTGTTTCCGATATTTTGATCACATCCTTTGCTTTAAGGCTACCACACATTGGACACAATGTGGGCTCTAAAACAAAACACCTAGAAGATGTGGGAACATATCACTTGTATTATTGACTATATATTACAAAATTGAAATAACAATTCTTCAGTCTAATTCATGTTAACCATGTGATGCAATATTATTGTATCACTGTGTTAATATCCTGAGCGACCACATCGCTGACTTTGATTTATTTGTTTAATAATTAAGATTCTGATATCTTGCTTCGGGTATGATTTTAGGAACTTTAACTGAGTAACATTACTCCATAAGCCAATGCACCTGTTACCTAACAGCCCTTAGAAGGACAGAGCAAATTGACACACAAATAAAAAGCAAATTACATTTCCAGTTTCCGTTTTCAGAAAAACTGCAACTGCAAAAAAAGCCCACTGATTTGTGTTTCTTTTCCTTATTTTGTACATCATTTCATTTCATGTTTCTGTGTTGTTGTTGTTGTTGTTTGTTTTGTTTCTTTCCGTTAACTGTCAAGTGGGAACTAACTATTTATTGTAGTAAGTTTTTGTGTTTCTCTTATTATCCTACGATACTGTTATGTTTGGCTGTGAATAAGAAATATGGAAGGACAGACCATTCTTTTTAGTTTGGGGAAGGTCATATAAGATTATTTTCTTCTCCCTGCTCCTTTTTGGTCAATGGTGTGTTTACAGAGACATGTTTCATAAACAATTATTATACATTAAGTTGTGCATACCATGAACAGAATTAAATTGCCAAAACCTTTCACACACAACATAAATAAATATATATAAATGCATTCATTTGTGCTTTTTTTCTTAGAGGTGACCCTATAGCTTGAACTACTTCTGTTGCCAAAAGCAGCAGTAGATGTGCTGTATGAAGGCAAATTATGATTGTATATTTAATATATATACAACGGATAAAGTGGGTTTAAAACCTTACATTTATTCAGTCACTTGTCAGTCAAGCATTTACGACCTGGGAACTTTAAAAGCTTAAAGCATCAGCAGCTTTTGTGAATAGAATCAAGGCTTCTGCTTCACTAATAAAGAAGAAAAGACACACAATGTTCTACCTGTTCCACAAAGAAAGTTGATGCTGTGTCTCCTATTCCAGTCTTCACAATCTGACCAGGAAAGAGAGGATGAAGTTTGTTATCTTCTACCGCTCTCTTCTGAAGAAATGAAGGGAATAAAGGGAGTATCAAATCTGAGGAGATAAGGACAGTAAAAGCTGATTATTGATGGCCTTCACATTCAGGTTTAAGGTTCAAGTTTATAGTATACAGTAATATATAGTATAAAGGAAATGTAAATCAAAATGAACGCAAAAGACCTCTTGCTAAATATGCTGCCTAACATCAATGAGAAAACTCTGTATACTTTTATAAGTCGAACACATTTTAGACTTGTTTAATTGGCAATTCTAAATGAGGCTTTCTTTTAGTCAATTCTGTCTTTTTCACTAATGTCATGGTTTGGTAACCTGACTTTAAAGAGCAGAAACTCTCCGAGTCAGATCGTAAAGTGGTCCAGCAGACTGATTGGTGAGCCACAGCTAAACCTGGAGACCCTGTACCTCAGGCAGTGACAGCTCCATATCAGACGATGACTCCCACCCTCTGCACTCAGAATTTAAGCTTCTTCCTTCGGGCCGGAGGTTAGTTGTCCCAAGGAGTAGAACGAAGCGGTATGAAAACAGTTTTATCCCAGCAGCTATTGCACACATTAACACATAGGAGTATCACACAGATGCCTATTTATTTATTTATTTAATTATGAATGTCCATGTTTGAACTAGTGTTTTCCTTCTTAAATGTTTTTGAAATATTTTTGAGATTTGACTTTTTACTAGAGATGTCAATCAATCAATCAATGTTTATTTATATAGCCCAATATCACAAATGTTACATTTGTCTCAGTGGACTTTACAGTTTGTACAAAATATCAGTATGACAATACGACACCCTCTGTCCTTAGACCCTCACATCGTACAAGGAAAAACTTCCGAAGAAAACCCACAGTTTAAAGGGAAAAATGGGAGAAACCTCAGGGAGAGCAACAGAGGAGGGATCCCTCTCCCAGGACGGACGTGCAATAGATGCCGTGCCCGTGTGTAAATTGAAAAGATAATACATTTGCAACATAGGTAGTCCAAATGTTTGGAAATGCATGTGTGTATAATAGGAAGATGAATCCACGAGGATATCCATCCAGGACCTATGATCCAGGACCACAGCCACGACTCAAGATCCAGGGCTCGCGATCCAGGACAGAGGAGCGCAGGATCATCAGATGTGTCTGTTGTTTGTGTTTGTTTTTAGAGTGTGTCGGGTGGATCCCTTGTCTTTTTCTCTGCAAACAAAATCTACCTGCGGGTTCAAATAAAGAACCTGAACCTGAACTACGACGCTTAATTAAGAGACACAAAAATGCTCTTTTACAGAACAATAGTTATGAATGTGAAACCGCTATTATCCCCCGTCTATATGCTGTATGACAAACACTAATGTCAACATGAGGGCACGGTAAATAAGCAGCACTGAGTCTCACACATGACCAACTCACATTTGTAAGAACTTGAGGAAACTCTCAGTGCTCGACCACCAATTCTAACCTTTTCCATATCTCCTGATTTGTAAATTAAATTATTTTACAAAAGTCAGCACAGAAAGCTTAACAGGCAACAGTAAGACAAGTGGGCGGGGCTTATGTAATATAAACATATTATACTCACTTACTTACTTTAATAACATCATTGTCTGATTCTTATTTGCTAATGTTTATCTATATTTAGTCAAAGTCAGTCAAAGTCAACTTTATTGTCAATCTTCCAGTTTCTGTGTAGCCTACAGACAGAGATCGAAATACCGTTTCCCACAATCCCGAGTACAAAAACAAATACATATAAAAGATGTGTGCAAATATGTATATGTAATATACACAGAATCAAAGACACATTTTTACATGTGCACATATTAAGACCTAAATAAAAACACAACAATCAATTTATACAAAATAACAGTCACTTCAATATTTGAGAATTGTCCATAGAATGTGCATTATTGCCAGATGTACTACTTCTCACACATCTTAGCTAAGCTTGGGAACATTCCTTATTAAGAAGATGTGTTGCAATGTTGTTAGTTACACTCTATGTGTAACTAACAATGTTAGTCTAAGTCTTATTTATTGATGTGTGTTTTGTCTTTTTGTATGTGATATGGACCTTGAGTCTGGAATAAAGATTGGAATATGTGCATTGCGTACCAACATTATGACCTTTAACTCAGGTGAACTGAGAACCTCCTGATACGGCCTCCCTAACCAACACAAACAAGCCTTTCATTATCACCAAGCTTCACCCCTACACCTTTTACGCTGCTATGGACAATATGCACTAATATATCTGCACTAATGTACATTCTCAAATATTGAAGTGACTGTTATTTTTGTATATATTGATTGTTGTGTTTTTATTTAGGTCAATGTGTGCACATGTAAAAATGTGTCTTTGACTGTGTATATACATACATATTTGCACACATATTTTTACATTTTATATTCTATATACAGTTTTCATATTCGGGATTGTGGGAAACGGTATTTCGATCTCTCTGTCTGTACACACAAACTATTAGATTGACATTAAAGTTGACTTTGAGACTGTACGCTCTCTGTATGACTGACTGAACTTTCTTGACAAAATTCAGAACATCAGACAAGCAGTCAGTGCCTCTGCATCAGGAACAGCAAATGTGTTGTCCCTATCTCCACTTAACATCAATTCAGACATCATGACACAATTCCATCAGATTAATGATAAAAACCTAGAGGACATTATTCAACTTCTGAAATCCTCCTCTTGCTGCCTTGATATTATTCCAACAGGATTTTTCAAAGATGTTTTGCCTTGCATGGCCTCAGATCTACTTCATATAGTAAACAAATCTCTTCACTCAGGTATTTTTCCACAGGCCCTGAAAACTGCAGTCATTAAACCGCTCTTAAAAAAGAATAATCTAGATGCTTCAGTAATGAACAATTACAGGCCCATATCAAACCTCCCATTTCTAGGTAAAATCATTGAAAAAGTTGTTTTTCAACAGTTGAGTAATTTCTTGCATTTAAATAACTGTTTCGATGTGTTCCAGTCAGGCTTTCGTCCAAACCACAGCACTGAGACTGCTCTTGTAAAGGTCTTTAATGACATCCACTTAAACACAGACAGTGGCAGAACTTCAGTGTTAGTATTATTAGATCTCAGTGCTGCGTTTGACACTGTGTTGACCACAGCATATTACTAGACCGACTGGAAAACTGGGTGGGACTTTCGGAAACAGTTCTGAATTGGTTTGAATCCTACTTAAAGGACAGAAACAACTTTGTTTCTATAGATAAATACACATCTGAGTTGACAAATAGGACATGTGGGGTTCCTCAAGGCTCCATCTTGGGGCCTCTTCTCTTTAACATCTACATGCTACCACTGGCTCAGATAATGAAGAACAACAAAATAAGTTACCATAGCTATGCAGATGACACACAAATTTACGTAACAATTTCACCAGGAGACTATGCTCCAATTCAAACACTGAGTAAGTGCATTGAACAAATCAATGACTGGATGTGTCAGAACTTTCTCCAATTAAACAAAGATAAAACTGAGGTAATGGTTTTTGGAGCCAAGGCAGAACGTATAAAAGTTAGTGCTGAGCTTCAGTCTGCAATGTTCAAAACAACAGATAAAGCCAGAAATCTAGGTGTAGTCATGGACTCTGACCTGAGTTTCAACAGTCACATTAAAACAGTTACTAAATCAGCCTACTATCACCTAAAGAATATATCTAGGATTAAAAGACTAATGTCACAGCAGGATTTGGAAAAACTTGTCCATGCTTTTATCTTCAGTAGACTGGACTACTGTAATGGTGTCTTTGCAGGTCTCACTAAAAAATCTATTAGAAAGCTGCAGCTAATTCAGAACGCCGCTGCTCGAGTCCTCACTAACACTAAGAAAGTGGATCACATCACTCCTGTTCTGAAGTCTTTACACTGGCTTCCTGTGTGTCAAAGAATAGATTTCAAAATACTGCTGCTGGATTATAAAGCACTGAATGGTTTAGGCCCAAAATACATTTCTGACCTCCTGCTAAATTATGAACCATCCAGATCTCTCAGGTCTTCAGGGACTGGTCAGCTTTCTGTCCCCAGAGTCAGAACTAAACATGGTAAAGCAGCGTTCAGTTATTATGCTCCAAATATCTGGAACAAACTCCCAGAAACCTGCAGGTCCGCTGCAACTCTGACTACTTTTAAATCCAGGCTGAAGACTTTTCTTTTTGTCGCTGCTTTTAATTGAACTATTCATATCTTAGACTGCACTGTAACTTTTATCCATGTACTTTTTCTTTTAATGTTTATTCACATCTTAAACTGCACTGTAACTTTTATCCATGTATTTTTTCTTTTAATGTTTATTTTATTAGCTTTTCTTTTTAATGACTGATTTTAAATGCCATTTTCTTAATCTCTTTCATTTTTTGTAAAGCACTTTGAATTGCCTTGTGTTGAAACGTGCTATATAAATAAACTTGCCTTGCCTTGCCTTGCAGGAAATAAAATACGACAAAGACAGCTGAATGGTTTGATTCTCTATCCACATTTAATAAATACATTCCCACCACAGCTTAGAAGTCAATTGTGATGTCCATAACACAAACAAACGCCCAGTAACATCAAAACAATGACACATATTTATATGAATGATGTACCACATGATACTTGACAGAGGTGTGTTTAGTGCTGTCACTCTAAAAAATGTAACACCTGTCAATTAAGATCCATGAGAAAACTGAACAAACAATAAAACAAGACAAACCTCATAGCTGCAAAATGTCATCGGAAAAGGAAACACAAGCTTGGTGAATATCTCTGTGGCAGAATCATAAATAAAAAGCTGCAAAAAGAGTTCAATAAGAGTTAATGGAGAGGAAAATCAAAACTGTATTTATCGCTGACTTCACGCCAGCATCAGAACATCCAATCCACTTTATTTCTATAGCACATTTTAAGAACAGAGGGTTTGCCAAAGTGCTTCACAATGAACATAACATTATAACAAATATAATATTACAAGAATAGATAAAAGGCACACATAAGAATAAATACAAGGTCCTAAAAGGCTATGGACAGACAATAAAAGCATACAAATAGGTAGAGCATAGCACAGACTGGCTCGAAAGCGAGGGAAAAGAGGTGGGTCTTTAGGCGGGACTTAAAAGTTTGAAAGGTGGGCGACAATTTGACATGGGGGGGCAGGTCGTTCCAGAGCCTGGGGGCTACCGCTGAGAAGGCTCGGGGTGTTTCTCAATGTCGAGGAAAGCTGCTCCAGAGCCACTATTTCAAGGATACTACGTCATCGAGTCCCGCCGAAGGACTGTTCCAATGTCCAGCATACTTGGAATTCTACCGAGGCCGGCGTCCTTCTTTGGCGGAAATCACGCTCCATTTAAGGCGGGGCAACGCACCTGTTAGCCTGTTCCACCATTCTTCGTTTTCCGAGGCTAGGAAGGATTCTTGCCTCCCTTCTGAAGGACCTGACTCGTAGGGACATGTCCTACCAAGGAAGCGTCCTCGACATTGAGAAACACCCTATAGCCGTGTTCACACCGCAGTACTTTTCCCACTTTAGTTCCGATATAGTTCCGAAATGTCGCGTTCACACCAAAAAGAGCCAGAACTAAAATTACTTCATGAGAACCTTTTTACCCCCTTTTCCATCCCTGCTAGAGAGCAGGTACTTTCGTGGGAGAAAAAGGTTCCTATGTCTGATTGGCTGGCCGGATTGCAAACCACGCCCCGTAAAACTCCAATAAATATTTGTGAAGCCGCCATTTTATTTTATCTACTGAAGCCAGTCCCCAAATCCGCGGACTTCCGGCCGGGGACTTCAGGTGGCAGTATACGCCGTGAAGTTGTTTGCGGCCTGCCAGTAAACCCAAAGCAGAAGAAGAAGAAGTGACGTCAGCGGCTTCATTTGCCTAATCCACCCCCAGGGACTTATTCCTTATTCCGGTGTGAAGACGATCTGTACTTAGTTCATGAGAACTAAAGAGTTCGTAAAGTGGTCCAGCAGACTGATTGGTGAGCCACAGCTAAACCTGGAGACCCTGTACCTCAGGCAGTGACAGCGGTTATCCAGCTTTAGTTCATGAGAACTAAAGAGTTCTCATGAACCCTCATGAACCCTCTCTCTTTTCCTCCATACCCAAATCTCTAAAAACGGGGCTGCAACGGATCTGATACAGATTTGAAATTGTTCCGACGTCAGAAATGGGGTGCTCCGCCTATATGGGCAACTCTCCACCTATCAGGGGAATGAGAGGTTGCGTGGCATGGTAACAGCCTGGTAACATGACTCTCGTGCCTCGCCCCCCTGCAAAGGAGGTCAGCTGCAGCTCATTTGCCACAGAATCAGCCCTTGTGAAGACAGGGCTGTAATAGAGCAAATAGAGCGAAATGAGGCACGGCTAAAATGCATGATCTGTTTGCTATTTTGAAAAAAAACCTTCACAGACATGTTTTATATAGGTATGGCCCTACAATATATTATTCAAATATAGCATGATAGGTCCACTTTAAGATATTCTGATTTTGATTCTACTCTCAAACCTGCCGTCTGTTTGGCATTTAACACACATTTAAGTGTGTGTAGAAGAGCCTGGACAACATATAAAAAAGGCTGCAGCAATTTACTGGTTGAGAACATAAGAGTGTTGTCAGCAGCATATCAGTACTTTATATTTGAAACATGCTTATCTATTTATATACACGTTATTAAAATGTCCAACAGATTTACAGACTATGTATTTATTTTTCCTCCAATACGAATTTGTCTACTTCACAAATTAAGTTTCTGGCAGAAAATAAAAGCAATCTGAATGTAATGGAAGCACTATACATTTAATGACACAATTAAACAAAACAAGTGTCTTACAAAAAAGAGATTTTTTTTATTGATGCAAAAAAAAACTCCATTCAATGACACAACAGTGTAGCAGTTCATCTGAACGTCAATGCTTTTAAAAGCTGCGGAAAACATTCCTGCCCCTAAAACCTGGAAGTTTCCCACAGTGCCATCTTTATAATATCCTAAGGGGAATGAAGCATGCACTTATCAGAGTGGATTATTGTGTGACTGGATATCAGCAAAGGACAACTAATATGATATAGAGAACTCATAACAACAGGGCTTTCTAGGTAAAACTAGAAAGAACTTCTTAAGAATCCATTTTCCAAAACAAAACCTGCTTTGGCACGCGTACAGTAGAAATGGAGAAGGGAAAGATACAGTAAATGGTCCTTTTAGAAGTCATGCGCATTAAAAAAAACAAGCTTTTAAAGAAGCTTTCTTAAACGTTGCACATCGTGTGAAACTGTCTCCACGATGCGCTCACTTCAACAGAGTCACAGGCACTCATGCTTTTATATAATGTCATTGCCATGGTTAATAAAAGATAGAGGATCATCTGATGTTCAGTGTGATTACAGACATGGTCAATAGTGCTTGGAAACAAAATGATCCCACTTAAAATGATACGATTCAGTCTATAAGCTTAGTTTATTGGGCGTCATTTAAATATATATCAGGTGTGGTTGGGTTGGACTTAGTTTTTAGAAGACATGAGAGGAAGGGGTTTCTTCCCTTTCTCAACCTGTGCGCAGGATGATGTGGACTCCAGATTCAGTGAAAACGGGACCGCTCATGTCTCCCACTTTCAGAGCAAAGGAGGCGTCTTCAAAAGGCTTCTGCATCTGACCTAAAACATAAACACAATTTATATTTAAAGGTCCCCTATTATACTGTTTTTCATCAATATATTACAGGTCTCAGATATATACAGAACATGTCTCTGAAGTGTTCATTGCAGCATCCCATAATCCCCTCTGTTTCCAAAGTGCTGATTCTCTGTCTGTTACTTTAGATGAAAATAAGGAGCCCCTCCCCACGCCCCTCTGAGAGAGATTTGGTTAAAAATAACTCCGTGGTGCTCTCGGAGGAGATTCAGGTGATAAGGTGGGGGGGGAGGTTACCTTGGTTGGTGATTGGCTAATGGTTACACAAGCCAAAAAATAGTTATGACATCATAAAGTGACCAAAATCTGATCAGCTCATTTTCAGACAGGTTTTTATAGAAATGGATCAGGACAAAAAGAGAGAGAATCTTTTTTCCTGAGACTTTCGGAATCTCTTTCCACAGAGGGGACACATGTTGATGTACAAAAGACATGAAGAAGTAGATTTTGCATAATAGGTGACCTTTAAGTTATCAAAAATAATAATTTACATTCAAATTAAAGTTGACAAACAGAAGATGTTGTATACATAAATCTTTGTGTAAATAAATTCCTGTTTTTGCTTAAAATCCTCAGTTTTGGGTTAACCTTTTATAATTTTTTACAAGACATACAACAATTTAATTCAGTGTTTTCTTTGTTAAAGTTTATGAGGTTGACAGCGGGTGTGTCACATGGGCACTGCCAGTAGTTGGCAGCACACTGCGGAGATATAAGAGCAACGAAGCCAGAAAATAACAAACAAGACCACATGACTGAACATTGCCAAAAACAGCAATGACACTGTTATGATGTTTGTCGCCCAAACCACAAACAATATGAATAACCAACCACTTGAGTGCAACATCACAACTATCCAGTCTGTGGCCCTTAGCACATTTGATCATACTTGAGATTCAAATCATTAAAAAACAGGACAAAAATATATGATTTCATTTAAAAAATAAGAGGGCTAAAAACTTCAAGACATCTCTCAAACGTGAGTGTAGGAGCCACCAAGTAATTTAACCTGAGTTTATTATTTGTAATATTATTTGTTTAGGACTTCTGGCAATTGTCACAGGGGTGTGGTTTGTTTGGTATTTAGGTGAGCTGTTGCATGGCGAGGTATGGAAAGAGAAGAAGAAGAAAGAGGGTGAGCTTGCGCTGATGTTTTGGTCCTCATTTGTTTCATTTTCTTCATTGAACATCCTAACCTTCCACTTCAGTATGGACTTTCATTTTGTAAACACATCATTTCAAAGAGCCAAGTTCAGCCTCTTGGTGACTCAATTTGATGTGAATTGAGTCGCCACAGTGAGGAAATTAACGCTTTTTTTGAGGGACTATTTTCAGCTGCGTATTGATACACAATCTCTGTGGTGTAGCTGCAAATGACCATCCACCAGACAAGCCATACACGCATTTCATCTGTTGCATATATTTTCTCATGTTTAAACTAACAAAAGGGATATTTGGCAGCCAGTGACGCACACGTGGAATTCTTTGCTTGATTAATCCACATCAACTCTGGTTTATTGTAGTGTTTCGTGCGGATGTACCTCTGCCGAATAATCCCAGGTCTCCTCCCTTCTTGGCTGAGCTGCAGTCGCTGAACTTGGAAGCGAGGGCTTCAAACTTCTCGTCTCCAGACTTGATGCCTTCTATGTACTCTGCACCGAACAGAGAAATAAAGAGCAAATTAAATACCTAAAATAACACATGATCACATCCCCCCCCCCCTCTCCTGACACTTTACTCACGCTGAATGGTATCCAGCGCCTCATCTTTGGTCCGTGTGATGTTCTCTTCCCTCCATGAAGATGGCCGACGTGACTGACTGTGCTTCACCAGGATGTGAGCGCAGCGCGCCTGAGGAGGAAATCAATTAAGGATCCGTTAGAGTAGCGGTTCCCAACCTGTTTCAACGCAGGGCAAGAATCTAAAAAAATGTCGTGCCCCCACATTCAACCATAAACAATACGGAGGCTAAATAAAGTTCTCAGAGTACTTTTTATTTTAATTAGAAAAGGAGCTGGCCATCAGTAACAAACAGACATTTTTATTACACGGTTTAGTTGAATACTCGATTCTGATTGGTCAATTCAGAACATGTGACACGTTGTTAATCCAGTAGAACAGACCGCTGTCAAGGACTGTAATGACCGTTGCTAAGGAGGATCAAGAAAGAGAAAGGAAAAGATCTTAATGATATGTTTGGCGAGGCGTGTGGTGCAGTGGGTTGTGAGTTGGTATTCGGATCAGGAGGTCACAGGTTCAAACCCCACTGCAGTCAGCATGTTGTTGTGTCCCTGGGCAAGACACTTCACCCCAAATTGCTCCTGTGGGGATTGTCCACAGTATTGAGTATTGAGTATGTAAGTCGCTTTGGATAAAAGCGTCTAACAAGTGACATGTAATGTTTCCACACAAATCATAATGTTTAGCAAATTATTTGGCGGCCCACTTGCAATGCCTTCGCGGACCACTAGGGGGCCGCAGCCCACAGGTGTGGAACCGCTGTGTTTGAGCCATTTTTCCTTTCATCATTATGTTTTGATTGTTTGGCTTAATAATATAAGGATTTAGAGTAAACTCTTAACTATTTATTTTTGTGAGTCACACTACGGTTTGAAGTCTCACTTATTTGTTGTCAAATGTGCGCTGTCAGGCATGACGTGCATGTCTTTATGCCTATATATGCCATGACAATGGTTCCCAGCTGAGTGTGTGATTAGACGGGAAGCGGTATAGTCTTTTGACCGTGATCTTTTTGTTCTATTTTGATAACTGTTAGTTATTTTGAAGCGAGGAAGTTTGTCTTCACGTTTGTATGCCGCCTTGATCAAAGATTAAATCTGATGTGATTCAACGCTACAACGATCTCCACAAAGTTTGTGGTCATAACCCACAACCCCGATAGAGAAAAGTGGTTATTCAATTTAGAAACGGATTAAAACGCCACGACAGGATCAGTGACCAATCAGAGGAATCAAGAAAAATGTCTTGTCAAGTCAGTATCACTTTTTAAAAAGACATACTATGCATTAATAATTGTAACCAGCGTTAGATCAGATGATATCCTTGTTGTAATGAGAGACTAGACGCATTAGTTTGAAAATACCTGGTAATGAGAACATCAGTGAAATGTAATTTATGCCTGGGTTAAAATTAATGAGCTTGTAGCCGGTAAAGTTTTGAAGGAAATGCAATCAACTGTGTCTCTTCTTACTTTTCACAAGATCATCAATATAAAGTCTATAATGAATAACACGATACATCAAAAGCATTGATGCAAAGCTTTGTTTCATACATTATTAGAGAGTCGGAAAGTTAAGTAAATTAAATATATGTTGTTTCACATAATACATCAATTCAATCATGTTTCATTTCTATTTTCACTGCTGCCTATTGATGGCCTAATGATGGTACATTTAAAAAGACAATATAAAACAAAAGGAATTCAATTGTGTAAGGCAAAAGTACTCTAATAAGTAATTAAGTCATGTTACCCAGCACTGGTTGTAACTAATGGTTTTATCATTGTTTAAAAGAAAAGTGTTGAATGTGTATTTTAGATTCAAGCCAATTGGAAAGTGATAGATGTATTTATATGAACATGCACTTAATGAAAAGTGAGTAAATTATTCATAAATTGTCTTTCTTACTTGGGTTGTAAACACTAGGATGTCATAAAGACTTTTTCCAAGACAATGACTTAATCATGTCAGGAGTTGTAAATGTTAATAAGTTGTTAACCTCTTGAATGTCATTGAAATGCCAGGTGTACAATCTGATGCTTTTTCTTTACACCGATAGAAAACCGCAGCATGAAATCCCTCCAATTCTTGCCGAGGTAAATGCATCAACGCTTTAGAGTTAAACATCCCAAAGCTTCATAAAGCCTTGTTCACCCGTCATTCAGTCATTCAGATCTACCTCAGCACCAAATCCCTCCATAACCCACCCCTTACCCACATCGATTCCTGTCTGACAGCTATTCAAACTTGGATGCAACATAACCTCCTCAAACTGAACAGCAACAAAACAGAACTCCTCCTAATCGGCTCCAAATCCACCCTCAGCAAGGTCACTAACATAACTCTCACCATCGATGGCACCATTGTTTCTCCCTCCAATTAGGCACGCAACCTTGGCGTAATCTTTGACCCCACCCTCTCCCTCGAACCTCACATCCGCCAAACAGTCTCAACCTCATTTTTCCACCTCCGCAATATTGCAAAAATCCTACCCTCTCTCATCCGCCCCGCAGCCGAACGACTAATCCATGCCTTCATTTCCTCCCGCCTTGAGTACTGCAACTCACTTCTTTACGGCATCAGCACTACATCCCTCAACAGACTCCAACGGGTTCAAAATGCAGCTGCACATCTCCTCACGCATACCAAATCATGGCATCACATCACCCCAGTCCTCAAAGACCTCCACTGGCTTCCTGTCTCCCATCGCATCAACTACACAATTCTGGTCCTCACCTACAAAGCACTTCCCCATCTGGCCCCCCCCTTATCTCACAAACCTTCTCACTCCTTATCAACCCCCACGGTCCCTCAGATCCACCGCAGCCGGACTCCTATCCATTCCCACATCCACACTCTGCAGCTTTGGGGACAGAGCCTTCTCAGTGGCAGCTCCTAGGCTCTGGAATTCCCTCCCCCAAGATCTCCGTGACTCTGAGTCCCTCACAGTCTTTCAGTCCCGCCTCAAAACACATCTTTTCAACTCTGTCTAGTCTACCCATAAGCCCCCCCCCCCTTCTCAATCAACTTCCTCTTGACTGCCTTTTTATTTTTTACTTACTTGTTTGCCTGTCCTTGTTTGTCTACCCTCCCTCATACTGTAAAGCGTCTTTGAGTTGTGAAAAGCGCTATATAAATAAAATGCATCATTATTATTATTCATCTCAAAGAGGCCCGATTCATATTTTGGGGGTTTTCCCTTTCCTGTAGTGTGCTATATGTGTTGGTGCATGTTAATCAGGGGTGTCCAAACTACAGCCCGCCATTTTGAATCAGCCCTCAGCTATTTAAAACAGTATAATGGAATATGGCCCACAAATGAAACTTGTGATCGTCTTATATTGTACTTCTGAAATATAAATATAAAAATATATCACACAGTAGTATTTATGTGTTAATGAGACCACTTTTCAAATAAATTCAGTCAATTAAAGTTGGAAACATTTTCTAACATATCTTAGCCCAATGACTTATTTACATAACAAGCTTGAAATACACCCTTCCTATTTCTCCTTATTATAATCAATCTGAGCTTCTGTTGTAAGGGATGAGCTGATAACACTCACGACGAGCATCATTTACCTACATTTGATTGATTTTGCTAACTTATAACTGAACTTATGAGGCAACATACCTCTAGTAGGCAGTGTTGTGCTAGTTACTGAAAACCAGTAACTAGTTACCATTACTAGTTACTTCATTTCAAAAGTAACTCAGTTACTTTACTGATTACTTACACCAAAAAGTAATGCGTTACTGTGAAAAGTAACGTTTTAGTTACTTAAAAAGCCCTTATAGCCTTCTTTTCAGTACTGTTATTGCATTGGAGAATAATACAATCTGTTGATCAACTTGACATGCCTTATATGCAATCTGGATTGCATCGATATTAGCTGGCTTTCCATTTTTGTATATTCTTTCTCCAGGTAGTTGGAAAAAGTTTTCCGTCCCATATGCCGTGTGCCGCCCGGACATGGTATCATGCTAACTAGCTCCCTGAAAGCGGGTGACTCCACTGTAGCAATAGCCTGCATGTGTTCTACAACATACCGTGCAATGGCTTCATCAACTTTTCCCTGGATAGCAGTCCCTTGGTTAAAATCCAGCCGCTGTTGCTTAGGTGGAGGTGGAGTGGCGTCGGCTGAGTCTCTGTGGTCTTAGCTACTAACTTCGTCCCAGCATGTTGTTTTTGCATTTGTTTTAAGAGATTTGAATTACTGGTTTGGGCAGTAGATAGGATCTTTAACCCGCCAAGACACAACTTACATTTAACTAAAACGTTCTTTTCTTTGTGCTCGACAAAAGTGAAATAGTGAGAATATCTCCAGGTGGAGAAACTAGATTTGAGTTCCGCCGCCGCCATGATAGTCTTGTTAGTAAACAACACAAACACGCCCACAGCCCGTCTCCGCATGTGACACAGGAAGTATTTAAGTACATTTACTCAAGTATTACTTAAGTACAGTTCTCATCTCTGTTCGCCTGGCTGTTGACTATATAAAAAAAACTAACGGAGTAACGCACCATGTAGTAACGGTAACGGAGTTACTGAATTTAAAAAGTAATGCGTTAGAGTACTAGTTACTGCCAAAAACTGTTAGTCCCAACACTGCTAGTAGGGCTGCACGATATTGAAAAAAACTGACATCGCGATTTCCCCCCCCCCCCTGCGGTATATATTGCGTTTTTTTTTAACCTGTTAAGCCCCAAAGTCCCGGCGGGTACTTTACTTTTTTTTTTCACGACACTGTGTCTTCAGGGGATCTTAATATTTAAGAACCTATTAATGTGTTATACCAGATTAACGGAAATAATCTCAGCTAACTGACGATACAAACCATTTTTACCAAAACAAAACACAAGTCTCATAAGAAGCATCTAAATGACCCCTGAGCGAAAAATGCTAACGCACTTTGGCACAGAACTCAAGATAAAAGTACCCTTATTACTTATCGTAGCTGCACATACAAGATATCCGATTAAAGCTGAGGTTCCACAGATCACTTAGGTATATAGTATAATCACTGAGTGATCCGAACTCGGACAGGGGAAGCAAACACAGACATCACAACACGTACCTTTATGTAGCTTCTAGGGGAGATGTCTCACCGTAGCTGTCAATCTGATCAAAAGACGTGTTCAATGGCATTAAAACGAGAAAAAACGCGGCTGAATCGGTTAATCCATAGGTTTTTAAAACAACCCCAAACAGGCGTAAACCTACCAGTTTCACCCACTGTCTCTGCCACCTCCCTCCATGACTGGTTCTTCCGGTTTGTATCCCGGTAGGTGAAGAGGGTCTGGTCATACAAAACCGGGTGATTTGCTACGGCGATAATTAGTTTCTCCTCCATCTTTTTTTGAAATATAGAAATTAATGGCGGGATATCTCTCCCAGCTTAGACGCGGTTTGATTGGCTAGGGCTTGAGCTGTCAGATTTTCAGAAACGGGATTTGATTGGCTGGCGCTGGCTACTCCGGCGTCAGAAGTTGAACATTGTTCAACTTCTGACGCCGGAGACGGACCGCTATGCTACCCACAATTCAGTTCGGTGAAAAGCGAGGCAACGTGACGTCACCCCATTCAAAGTGAATGGGCAGACGCGTTGGAAACCGTTTTTGAAGCTGTCGAAGCTGTAGTGTGGACGGCCCGTAACACACACACATTACCAAATAAGGAGTGAGAGTGATGCGTAGCCAAAACCGGAAGCTGCATACACTCTGGTGGCTACCATTAGCAGCTAACTTTTGTGCTCCGATTTTTACATAAAAATGGAATTATGGATTATAAACAATTGCTTCAAAGCCACAGATACATTATCAACCTATGGATCAACCGATTCAGCCGCGTTTGTTCTCGTTTTAATGCCATTGAACACGTCTTTTGATCAGATTGACAGCTACGGTGAGACGATCTCCCGTAAAAGCTCCGTAAAAGGTACGTGTTGTGATGTCTGTTTGCTTCCCCTGTCGCGAGATCGGATCGCTTAGTGATGATACTATACTTAAATAATCTGTGGAGTCTCAGCTTTAATCGGATATATTGTATGTGCAGTTTCGATAAGTAATAAGGGTATCTTTATTTTGAATTCTGTGCTAAAGTGCGTTAGCATTTTTTTTTTTTAAATGAATAAAACCGCACGTCCCTGCGGTGTGAATATCGCGCATGCGCATATCGCGGTTATCGCCATGACACGGTATATCGTTCAGCCCTAACCTCTAGTATATTTTTCTGTATGTGGCCGTCGTGAAAAAAGTTTGGACACCCCTGATGTAAATGGTCTGCAAAGGCTAAAATCCCTGTGTTCCCTCCAGAGGGAGTTTCTCTCCCACACACTGAAACGCCCCCATTGGACTCATTTGTTTACTACCGTAACATAGTGACATCACTATGTAACATTCGGGCTTCTATTGGATTGTGGTAGAACACATTGTACGTCATAGGCTAAGGGGCGGGACTTCTCTAAGCGGTTAAACCAATTACAACAGAGCCGGCCCGCTAACCAATCAGAGCAGACTGGGCTCTGGTTTCAGACAGAGGGTGAAAAGAGGTGCTGCAGCACAGGCAGTATGAGAAAAGTAAAGAGCTTTTTGAACATTAAAGGAAGGAGACATGTCACAGTAGAGGCAAAACATACAAATATGAACCTGAAAATGAGCCCCTTTTTAACATTAGATCACTTAAAGGTGGGGTAGGTAAATTTCAGAAACCGGCTCGAGTGCACTAAAATTTGAAAGTACACAGCCGAAAAGAATCCGCCCCTTCCTTCAGACTTCCTTACAGAGCATCTCCTCCAACACACATGAACGCGCACATGACGTCAGCAGACTGGTGAAAGTGGCCGCCTGTTGCTGGCGAGTCATTGAAGTACTGCTGCAATGCACGCCCAATGACGGCACGAGATACATTTGTGCGTGCACGAGATGGAAGGCTGACAGACAGGGCGGCAATCCAATCCGTTTAGCCGGGCCGGCTAAACGGATTGGATGTACTTTTTACAGTATTACGGCTTCCACAGATGACATTTTATTATGGATTTTTTGTCAAAGCACTTCAGATATTCATTGCTATCGGGATGTTAAGAGCATTCTATGGAATATAACAAAAAGTGAATCTCGAGCCGGTTTCTGAAACTTACCTACCCCACCTTTAACTTGGTGTAACAGTTAGTAGATTTGAAAGTGACCCATAGTAACAGTGTATAATATACACATAATAACCTTATCTGGATCTCCATAGCTGTCTCCTGTGGGACGTTCCCACTGGCTGGCATTGGTGATGTGGTTGAAGTAATACACCTTGCCTGGAGGAAAGAGAGAGTCATTAAAGCTGCATTCAGTGAGTCCTTTTAAAAACACACCACAACATTATGGCGAACAATGTAACATTAACTGATTATTTTCATTTTTAACAACGACAAAAATCTGTAGATATATCTTATCAAATCATAACTTATGTACAGATTTTCTTTAGCTGAATATTTGAGCTTCCCTTGTATCCCCAGGAAAATGCAGATGTACCCCCTGGGGTCCCCCTGTGGTCCAAGTACCAGTTCAACAGTTTATAATGTAGTACTATGGGGTATGACGAATAGTAACTTAATGTGTAATCAAATAGGAGTTTCAAGATGTAAAGATCATAATCATTTCATTCATCTTAAGTAAAGTATTGCAATAAAAAATAGTGCAAGTGATGCAATGGTGCAAGTAAAATGAAGGATTAAGTGATCTACTTAATGTAAGATGGAAAGACATCATTTATTTATTTAAATTGTATATAGGGAAATAAATACTGTATAGTGCAAGGTTAATACATTGTGTTTATATGTGATGTAAACAGATGAGTACATGCTTTTGCTTAAGGTTTTGAAAGCAGAACTTTAGCTTGTATTGGAGTATTTTGACAGTGAATAACCAAGTATCTAAATACGTATCCATCACTGCTGTCCTGCAGCTGATAGTCAAATATGAATGGTGGAAAAGTAAACTATCAAATGTTATGGAATAAGACTATAGTGCGCTTTTGTTTAACCTCCTATCATACATTATTTTAAAACCCTACGGTCTGAGGCTCGTGCAGCCTTGCAGGCATAGACTGGTGAGGAATGACGTCATGCGGGGGCCCTGCATCAGTCAGGTTTGAATGGATCATGAAGCACACCCACCAAATAATACCAAAACACCACATTTAAGAAAACCACACATATAACACCAAAACTACCGATCCCTACTTAAAGCATATCCCCATTAAAGATAATCTTCTATCTTGTTCGTTTAAACAGAAAAAACACGATGCTAGGGCTGCTAGCTTCTAAGCTAAGTTTACTACACATTGCATGTAGCTTAACTAGCATATTTAACTTCTAAAGGGTTCGGGTTTTATTACCTGAACTGCGGCCTCATTCTTTTCTCCCATCCAGCTGGCATATTCTCCTCGTCTGACATTTTTATTATTTTTCTGTAGCACCGTTTTTCAAATGTAATTTCAATGAAGCTAGCGTGTGTGACAGGCTGGGCTGCAGCTAGACAAACTGTTTACGGTACGAGTTGTTTTCAGAATAAGCTCCGCCTTGACGTGTTTTTTACTTTGCTCATTGGCTCTCTTGGGCTGTCAATCATCAACATGCCATTTGATTGGTCGATAGGTTGATATGCAAACTGTATCTGCTTTACGGTAAAGTGTGCGATCCAAAGTATTCTGTCGAAAAGGGAACATATTTTTTATTCTGCTGTGAATTTGCAGGTAGGAATCTTACATTTAAGACGCCTTTCTTTGAGATGTATTACAATCCTCTTTATTTTTGAGACAGGAAGTTGCTTTACGTGTGGCGTTTGCGACAATACGCACACTGGAGTGTATGTTTCTGGTGTCGTGATCGTAGGCTAGCTAATATTAGCTTTTTTCAAACAAAACATCCAAAAATTGATTTGAAATACCTGTTTTATCATATCTCATACTCTTTGAATGAACGACATTTGCTTGAGTTTCTAACTACCCTATATGTACCACTAATATTGCTTTAAGGTTTGTTTGGAAAAGTATGAAGCGACTCTCACATGTGATGCTAACTGTGTCTCTTGTTATTCAGCTTACAGAAACTGAAGATGATTGAGGTGGTTTGCAACGATCGCCTGGGCAAAAAAGTCCGGGTTAAATGCAAGTATCCTTTTCTGAAACTGTGGACATGATCCTGAATAATGCGTCCTGAGTGAACAAGTGTAATACCTAGGCCCACGTACAGCTAACGAGGAGTTAGCTTGAGTTTCAAGTTAGTTATGTCATGTGCTGAACTGTTAGCGAAAGAGTTGTTGAGAAAAAATAACATGCATTAAAGAAATATGTATTGTAGACAGATACAAGTAAATTAATTAATATAAATGTGTTTGCAAAGAGAAATAATAAATAAATACTGTGTACAGAGATGTGAACAGGTAGTTGAACAGTAAGTACACTTATATAAAGATCTTTTTAATTTCTACAAAGCTTTATTTTCTTTATGAACTGAAGACAGAGCAACAGAAGCTTTAAAATGTTTAATTTAAAAGTTATCTTCAAGTATAAATGATTTTTGCATATATATATTTTTTTTTGAACAATTGATCAACAACCTTTTTGTTTTGCACTATGTTCACCTCAAACGTGTACAGTAATGTTTCCCACTTTTATAAGTTATTGTTCATTTAACATTGGATCTTTTTTTTGCTCTTATGTATTGCTAAGGCTCTTTCACACCGACCTTAATACATCTAATAATATTTGTTACATAGAGCAACAAGTGCATGGTTCTGAATTTCTTGTATACACCACCTGTTTGCTTCTCCTTGACCACCAATTCTCAGCTCTGAAGATACGATTGGAGATCTGACTAGAAGCTCATTGCCGCCCAGACAGGAACACGATTTTGACAAAATTTTTTAACAGGAAATGGTAAGTTTGTTGTCTGTAATACTTGATTTCCTGATTATAACATTAATGTGTAAATGTATTTTTCTGCTACCAGCTAAATGTTCCTCCTCTGTTCCCACAGGTATACCATAATTCAAGGACCACGTAACCCTGGGAGACTGTATCCTTAAACAACGCTCTGCAGCTGCTCTCTTACTGCCATTTTGTCACAGAGGTCCATTTACAACCTCAAATAGAAGTAAATCAATTATGTAAATTTAAGGATGGAGCTGTGTGTAATACTGGCTTTTAATATAGTGGATTTAAATATCCAGCAGTATATACAGTGGAGGAAATAAGTATTTGATCCCCTGCAAATTTTGTAAGTTTGCCCACTTACAAATAAATTAACAGTCTATCATTTCAATGGTAGGTTATATAAACAGTGAGAGTAAGAATATCAAAAAGAATATTGACATTATATAGAAATATAAATGTATTTGCATTTAACTGTGTCTGTCTGTGAACATTATAAAACTGCAGGTTTTATTTACAGTCTATAATAAACGCCTCTGCATTATTAAGTAATTGTTGGCTGAAATGACATTATTGTATGTCAATTTGTATCAAGCTCAATAGACAGTGGAACTATTTGACCTGATGTGTTGTACTTAACCACGACCTCTGCAGATGAAATCCACGATGGGATGAACCTGGAGCTGTACTACCAGTAGAGGACCTCAAGTCAATAATGCAGAGATGACTCTTCCATGATATATATACACACACACACACACACACACACACACACACACACACACACACACACACTCAGTCGCAGAAAACAACCATGATCAGACAACACAACTGAAAGAGGAGCCGGAAAACACACACACACACCATTTTAGATTATGATTTTTGCCCATAAATTGACCAAAAGTCATGTTGTTCCACAGTTTTTTTGATATTTTTGAATAAAAGGATGTTTATACCTATCACAAGACTGTTCATTGGCATCCATTAGTTGTTGTTTTTTTCAAGCAAGAAGAAACTGGAACACCTGTTGTATGTTAACAATCTGAAAGCTATATACTTAAATGTTTTTATACACTTTCATTGTAAGAGTGGGAGGGGTTATTACTACAGCAGTTGATGACTGCTTGATAGAGATAAAATCCGGGCTGAGCAAAACTTCCTTAACCTCAACGAGAGCAAGACAGGTCAATGTTTTATGGACCCAACCTCCAGCCTCTCCGGTTGATATTCTGGGCTCCCTCAATGAAAACATCCTCCCCTCTGTCATGAACCTTGGAGTGACTTTTCGATAGCGCTTTTACATTTGATAAGCAGGTCAGCACCGTAATCAAATCCTGCTTCTTTAAAATGAGACTATTGGCCAAGACCTAGTCATTTGTGATCTTTTAAAGACCTAGAAAGGGTTATTATGCCTTTGTGACCTCAAGACTGGATACTTAGCAATGTTCTGTAAGTGGGTATGGACCAGGCCTAAATTACACGCTGCAGCTAGTGCAGAACGCAGCTCCACGTCTTCTGACTGGCCACAAAAAGTGTGACCAAATCACCCCAATTCTGGCCTCACTAGACTGGTTCCATTCGGTTCCGAATAGATTTTAAAATCCTTTTATTTGTTTTCAAAGCCCTAAATGGGTGGCTCCGGCCTATATAGCAGAACTCCTCCATCGCTACACCCCGCCAGAGCTTTAAGGTCTGCTGACCAGCTGCTGCTGGTAGTGCCCAAGACCAGGCTCAAAACCCGAGGGCACCGAGCCTTCGCAGCAGCTGTCCCCAGGCTCTGGAACACTCTGCCCCTCCATGTGAGGTCGGCCCAGACCCTAGGGGGGTTTAAATCCTTACTAAAGACACACACTTCTTCTCTCTGGCCTTCTAGTCAGAGCGGAGCACGACACCTGACTATTCCCTGTGTTTTTTTATATTTCTGTTGTAAATTATTGTCTTTTATTGTGATTCTAGTAAAGTGTTTTTATTACATGTACAGCACTTTGGCTCGACCAAAAATCGCTATATAAATAAAACTTGATTTGATTATGGCTGCAGATACAGTAAAAGTAATTCACCAACAAAGTGACCATTTGTATATCAATTTCTCGCCTTCTTCCTTCACCAAAGAGGCATGCAAGACAATAAACGTTTTCTGCGGGAATGAAGAAAAATGTAACGAAAGGTGATACATTAAAATCCAAATGATCTTTTTGGTATCTTTCTTTTGGTAAAGTATTCCTTTCAGACCTGTCGTTGTGAAATGAGATGTTTCATCAATCACATCTGGGTGTAACGTTTAAGAAACTGCTTAAGTGCAATAACCAGACGCTCATCATGTCAGTTAAAGAAAGGTTTTATTCACATCACTGACAGTCATCAAATCACAGTATATCTCTCGTGCATAAAGGTTGATGTGTGGAAACCAGGTATCACACAGACCTGGCTCCACACTCCTCCTGTGGAGCCTCGTCAGCAGTAGTCGGAGGAATCCTCCTCCACATAGTTTGGCTGGAAAGAACCCCACCTTGAACCAAAGGAGAGTAAGATGAGATGGACCTTATTAATCCCCATGGAGAAATTCATGAGTTTAAGCAGCAACAGAGAGAGCGAAACAGATTATAGAATATACACAAGAATAATACAATTAAACATCAAATTAAAGTGATATACAGGTAACTAAGTAGTAGCTGGTAAGACAAGACACCTCAGAACCTCTAAATAATAATACACGTTATTTGTATAGCACCTTTCATGCACAAAGGCAGCCCAAAGTGCTTTACAGAAAACATAACAACAATATTAAAATAATATTAAAATGAATACAGAACAAGATAAAACATCTACATGTGTTAAAATAAAACAATTTAAGAAAGACAATTAAATATGTAAAGTAAACAGAAAATATACAGTAAACATCGAAATAGTGAGATTGAAAGTTAACCCAAATTAAAAGCCATATTAAAAAGATAGGTTTTAATTTGCTTGTGTCTCTGTGTTCTCCTCCTCACCCGGCCGTACACCTCTCCCTTCCACCACCCGCTGTGGGCCCTTCTTGGAGATGATCTTGATGGTGTCTCCCTCCCGTAGCGACAGCTCTGAGCGGTCTCTGGGGGAGAAGTCGTACCGGGCCCGGACCACGCCCAAAACACTTCAGGCTGCCTCCTGTCGAAGCAAGGCAGGTTACTTTAGAGGGCAGATTGCACATAATGTACAACACTATCTGTTTTTTAATTAGTGCGAATGCTGTGCAACACATTCAAGCCCCCACTGTTCATGTACCCTTTAAAACACCCAGCTACCTGTTACCAGGTGTGACTGTGGCTCTGTGTTTACTGCATTGGTCTCTCAATTATAAGGTTGCCGGTTCCATTCCGACAGTCATCATGTTAAGATCTTTATACCTTACTACAATTTATCAGCTAGTTATTCTAGGTTATTACATGGCTTAGTTGAATACTCGATTCTGATTGGTCAATTCAGAACACGTGACACGTTGTTAATCCAGAACAGACAGACCGCTGTCAAGGATTTATTGACCGTTGTTAAGGACGCTCACATCTGCACAAAGAAGTTTGGACGATTTAACTGTATACATTTTGGCTGAAAAGCAAACTGTATGGCTACTGTGTGAGCTACGGCTCACAGTCCAAGCCCCTACTGACTGAGCCACTGCCGAACACCACGACACATGTCAAATTCCTCGTACTTGTAAACCTACCTGGTAATAAACCTGATTCTGATTCTATACAGAGGCGGATCAAGGTGTATCACATAAGGATAAGAGAAAAATATTAAATCCAATGTATTTTTCAATGAAGATTTTATTTTAACTCTTTTATTCTTTCTTCTTCTTTCACTTTTTATAAAGATTCAATAAATAATAAAAGACCACATTAAAGTACAATTTCAGAGCAAATCAACCACTGAGTGCACTTTTTTTGTTAAAAAGCAGTTATTAACAAATCAGTCTTTAGTTTATTTTCTAAAAGTGGTTGAAGTCGAGTTTTTCTAGTAGATTGTTCCAACAGGAGATTGTTAAATACATATTTAACATTTGAAAGAAGCTTCACCATGGTTTGTTCTGTTGGGAACCGCCAAACATTGCATCATGGATAAGCTTAATAGAAGAGTTGAACATTCTAGTAAATTATCTTAACCGCTTTCTTGCAAAGACTTTGATGCAAATATCTATATCGCTCTCATGACTGTGGTGTCTGTATTTTAATTTGACTGTCGGGAATAACCAAAGTCATTTCCAAAATCTTCAAACTATTCCTTGAACAGGATCGTAGTAAGGAATGGGAGGTATATAGATGTACTGTACCCGGTGTGGTGTTTGGTGTGGCGTTTTGTGTGGCGTTTGTGCGTTGTTCGACGAGTTGCTTTGCTCCGGCTGTTTGAAAGGCGTGAGCAGCGTGGTGTCCACATCCTTGAAATACTCCTTCAGAGAGTTCTGCTGGTAAAACTGAATCATCTCCTAATGCAGGAAGAAGACCACAAGCAGGAGGAGAAGGAGAGGAGAAGGAGAAGGAACATGTGAGACCTATTGGATGTGGTTTAAGAAGATAAAATATGATTTCATGTAAAGGGTACATTTTAGTTTTTTTCTCCAGTCAGTGTCATCCTTTTTTAGGTCTGAAAAGACTTACGATTATTCCCTTGAAGGCTTTCCTCTCATTGATGCGATACAGGCCGTCAGTGGACGTGATCTTAATGTGTCGGATGTCCATGTTGAACCTGGATAGCAGGTTGTGGAGAGAAGAAAAAAAACACACTTTTCTACTTCTGCAAAAAAAAATATGACTCTCATAATCCTTTGTTTGAGAAAATGTATTTTCCTGCTTTTGAGAGGAAGTGATACTTCGGCGCAAAACCCAGCCATTTGTGTGAGACTGTATTTGGACATGTCATGTCAACACAGTGACACCCGGTATGCAGGTTAAAGCTGGGTTACATTGCTAGGTTTGTTCAGGCAATGATTAAGACTTCTGGCTACAGACAACCAACAATCATTTCAAAGGACAATAATAATGAATCATAAGTTACCAGAGCATATGATGTTTCTTTGAATTGAAGTTCGAAAAAAAATCATTTTGTATTGCTTAGAAGCTGGAACACAGATACATTTGTGAACTATAGCTTTAAATGTCATTTTAAATGATTATAAGTTTACACTAAATATTCTGTCAACTGATCAATCAGAGCTACGAACAGACTTTTCCCCTGACTATATCTCAATTACTATGTTTCAACATGTTGGTGAAGACCTGCTTTACATTGAAATCATTGAAATGGGGTTGAAACAATATGATACTGCATGTAACGAGACATCTTTAAAAATACAGTTTTTAAACCAAATTTAGTGCAGGTTTAACCTAGCGACCATTGGCCTGTAAATGACCAAAGCAGTTAATACTAAAGAGGGCATCTTCAATCTTAAAGTAACATTTTCACTAGATGAAATTATTTTCACTGATGAGTCTGCGAAGGCTTACTTGATACTGATTGCAAACTCTCCTCCATCTTTCTGCCGCACGAGAACGTCCCATCAGAACCGGGACAGCAGCAGGTTTTTGGCAGCGGTTCTGTCCATGTTCCCAGCAAACCTTCAGCGAGGATCACAACGTTAAAACAGAATCACACAATGAAGGTCTGTTTCAATAACCGTTACCCAGTTCTGCAATAACAAACGGTAAAACACACTATAATGTAGTTGTACGAAGCTACAAAGACATTTCTAATTCCTATTATGTACATTATGTTTATACAGAGTCATGGTGCCCAGAAATGAGTTGGAGTTGTTCGAAAATACATCAACAAACAAATATATCTAATGGCAGCTATTTTTATTTGTTGATAAGAAAATGCTAAATAAGATGACTTAAACAAAAGTGTCACCAAAGTGTTTTTATTATTATTTATTGTGACTTTCCACATCTTCCGAAAACACTCTGATTAAGTACGCTTTTGTGAGAAGTGGTGCAGTAGTTTTGTGTAACATTGGTGTTGTTTACTCCAGTGTCATACTTGATGTTACCACCAGGTGGCACTAAAGTATCTATCTTTCAAATCATACATGGTGACTTGTTGCCAAAACCTGGGTATTCACGAATCACGCTGCTTTTTTACTTTATATAGTGTTATTTGAAGCTGTTTGAGTCTTAAAGAGTTAGTAAAATAGTGTTACTATTAAGATGTATGATAGGGATACATGCCCATCAGCGCAGGGACGCGGGAAGTCAGTCAGAGTTGGGGGTGCGGTGGGGGGGAGGGGTGCTAGGGGTGCTAGTGGTGCCTCGCAGCGGCGAAACTGTGGCACGCTACACTGTAGGTGGCGGGCGCGTTTGCGCTTCAGAGGAGGCTCCCTCCGCAAAATGAGGGCCCCCATCCGACGTGTAGGGAGGGGGCGGCCCTGTATATAACTTCATATTAAATGCAGTCATTGGTCTTTAGCTTTTGAGAGCAGTGCATTCATACGGTTGTTCATTTGAATGCTGCCAGTTTGTTGACAGCCTGTGTGTGATGGGACTTCTCATGCTCCCTAAATGTTTCCCCTGCCTTTCGCCCAGTTTGTTAAACCCTGCTTTCACAAAACTCCCATCCCTGATCTTATCTGCACTGACAAGCTTATTTCCATAGCAGAGCAACAGAAGAAGCACACCGCATTATGACTTTCTCTTATATGGTGAAGCTTTTTATAGACTGCTTACACTAAAATGCTAACTCAAAAATAGTAAGTCAAAATAAAACGTTTGTATTGATTTGTTTAGTGAACTTTTTGGCGTTGCAGTTACAACTCGCCGCCAACAGATGGGGGTGCTGCAGCCCCCTCAGCACCCCCACTTCCCGTGTCCATGCATCAGCGCCACAATGATACTGTTTCCCCAAAGCTGCTTTCAGCACTTTTCAGTATCTGGTTCTGTTTTTGTGACAGTAAGTGTTTGCTGTATCAGCTCTGTAGTGCTAACAGGCCTTCTGCACTGCACACACAGGAGGAAGTTAAGTGTTGAGCTTTGGTTCCTGTAGAGACTCACCAAATGGTTGAAGACAGGTCCGGCGTCTGCCTCTGGGACAGGGTGAGATCACACAGATGTTAAAGCTTAAGGTCTGTGGTCATGGTGCTATCACTTCTTCATTTCAGATAAACAACTGTTAACTGCTATTGGTTCCAGTCCGTGAAATGGTAAATTGCTGCAATCTAAATGAGTTTTTAATGAATAGGAGGAACCTCTAACTTCTCCAGCTGACGACTTAGTCCATTATTTCTTTACAAGTCTTTTGATATGTTACGTTGAATATGTAAACAGTGAACATTGCTAGATTTCCAAAATAAAAAAATGTAGTTTTGAGAAAACAGCCATAAGAGAAGTCATGTTTTTAGGGGAAAAGTGTTATAATAAATCATGCTATGAATGACACATGACAAAAGCCCTCCAGAATAAAGGAGCGACAATGTAAAGTCTGTTGTGTTTGCTTTTTAACAGGTGAAAGTGTAAGAGCAAACGTCCGTTAAGATATCTGTAACCCCTCATGGTGTGTTTACTCACAGGGACGTAGGGGTGGACCTTTTGGGAGGGGAACCATCCCATCTGACCAACAGACATGTTTCTTCCCTGAAGGACACATACAACTAAGCTGTCATTGAAACAGATACATGAGTTATCAAATCAACATCAAATGGATAACTTATAAACAAATCATCCCCAAGGAAAGAACGTTATGCAGTTAGTTAATATTGAGGCAATTGAAGCTAAATGAGTATGCGGGGTTAATTAAGGAAGTGCAAAACATGAAAGTGTTAAACATTAGATAAATCATACGCAGAAACCCATTGTTTGCGTGATTATCCCTTAACAACAACGACTTCACATCACTTTACAATATTCATAAACATACCTTAATATTTTAGATGAATTCAAATTTCAAAAATATTTCTAATCATTGTGAATTGATCTTTTGTAAAAACCACACAGTTTTGTGGCAAATATCAAATATTGATGTTTCTAATGAATACTTGATTAAACCAATAGTTAACAACAAAATCTAAATTGCTTCCTTGTTCCACAGTAAATAACTGACGGAATCAAGTGTGAGAAATAGATGTTTTTCCAACGTCATAGGAAGCGAGGACATTCACAAAAACCCTGAAACCAAAGCACGATGAGGTGGTTTGGTTTTCAAATCAAAACCCTTTCAAATTAATCGCACAGTGGAATTCTGGTTGAATACGAGGGAGGAAGTGGAACGAGGTACAGAGAGGAAAAACACAAAACAAACTGAAAGACACAAAAGCATCTCACACCTACACTTAACCACAGGAAACATGACAAAATAGTGTGTGTGTGTGTGTGTTGTGTGTGTGTGGTGTGTGTGTGTGTGATTTAGACAGTGTGTGTGTGTGGTGTGTGTGTGTGGTCCCCCCCCCCCCCCCCAGCCTTCAGAATACAGAGTGTCGAAGCTGGAATTTGGGTTTTAACGCTAACCTCCGTCCCACCACGGCAGCTCAGCATCCGCCCGGGTCAGCTCGATGATGTCACCTTTGGAGAGTTGGAGCGGCTGGCCGAAGCCCACAGGGGGTGGCGGCACCCCATAATACTCCTGAGACGCCTCCATCTTTGGAAATCCTGAGAGAGGGAAGAAGGAGGAAGAAGGAGGAAGAAGGAGGAAGAAGGAGGAAGGAGGAAGAAGGAAGAAGAGGCGTTGAGACCTGAGGAAGGACGTCTGACAGGCAATATTTTGACCATTATGTAACATTTATGGAAAATAGAAGCTTGTTATTAACAATATTAAAGGGATAGTGGAAATCCGCGAATTTTGGGTTTAACTTATGTATTTTATTAAAAAATAAGCATAATAAACAATTTTTTTTTATTTCATGCGCCTAGTTTTATTTTATTTTCAATTTTACTGCGCCCCCTCTCAATGAAACGAAATACTTCGGGAATCGTCGGGAATCTTCGGGTGATGACGAGAGCATAGGAAGACGGGGCACAAACAATGGCGGACATTCAATAGCATTTGCATGTGAATAGCCGACCTTTATTATGGTGAATAGATGTGTTTGTATGGCTGTGACAGCAAATGCAGAGAATGGCGTATCGACGCATGCGTTTCCAAGAAACCCAGCCATTCGTCGTCAGTGGGTGAAATGTGTTCAGATAACACGGGCAAACTTCACGGAGCCGAAGCTGACGAGTATTCGGCAGTCGTACGTGCTGCTCCCGTCATTTTATTACTGACGATTGTTTCGAGATTCCTCGGTCTCTAGCTCAAATTGAAAGTGAATACATAAGAAGTGAGTATTTTATTATGTTTCTCTTGTTGATTTAATGCATCATTAGCCTGTACCATTTTGTACAACGCCATTTATCCGGTACATAGTGTCGAATGTGTACACTACAGTCATCATATAGACATGATAGACTAACAGTACTGTGGAGTACAGCCTACACTTGACAGGCAGCCTGGCTATCCTAGGATGTTGTTTACTTTCTCTTTTCTGGCTGATAGCTCCAGGAATTCGAGGTCTTACAGTGATGACATTACATGTGTGGAATCTGTGGAGTCTCAGCTTTAAAATCGTATATCTTGTTTGTGCAGTTAAGATAGTAATAAGGGCATTTCTACCGTGTGTTGTGTGTAAAAAAGCGTTAGCATTAGTTAGCATTGTTTCGCTCAATGCTAATTCAAAGGCTTGGTATTACTCTTGGGTTTTTTCTAGCTAACAATTGTTCTTATTGTCAGTTAGTGGAGTTTCTTACTTACCTTAAAAGGGTATGAAACATTAATAGTTTCATAAATGTTAAGAAGCCCTGAGACATGTGAGAGAAAAAAAACTGTGGGAGGGGTCCACTGGGGGGACCTTCGGGCTTAACTGGTTAACAATGATTAATATTTGTAAAGGCTACAGGTGATCTTAAGATGCGTGAGCTATGCTTAGGGACCTACCAGTCAAGATTATTTGTGCGTAGGGGTGCATCATCTGGCGCCTGGTCCTGGTCATCCTCGCCATTGTCCATGCCGTGAACCATCACCTCGGGCTCGGGCTCGAACAAATAAGGACGTAATGGTCCATCGTCTGGCTCAATATTGTCACCATCGTCGCTTACTGAACCGGATTCAGATTCAGTTCCTAAAACGACATTTTCGTAGGAAAGCCGGGAGGATGTTTCTGACTCGCTGTCATCACTGGATACCTCGTACAATCCTTCTTCTTTGTCTGGTATATTTGCCCTTCCACGTTCATTCTGCATAGACGCCATGGTTTGTTATCGTATCGTCTTCCTGAGTTTGTCACTTCCGGTTTGGCTGAGTCGAACATTTCGTTTCTAAAAAACTTCGGGGAAGCTGCAATAAAGTGCTTCTAACATGCGTAAGGCAATTATTATATTTTTTAATCAGGTGTGATTGTTTTGGTACGTAATTATGCTTGTATATAAGTTAAAACGAAACTATTTGAGGTTCCATTTCCACTATCCCTTTAACTTAATATTAAAACATGTATTATTTCTTACCAGCGCTGGATTGTCCGGAGGATCTCTGTGTTTTATGCTGGAGGAGCAAAACACAAACAAACTGGAGTTATTGTATTCTATTATCACAAATTAAATAGAAAAAGGACATACAATTTGACATGTAAGATAGTGTTCAGAGAGAGAAGCGAGATAAAACAATATTACAAACATCCACAAAGTCAAAGCTGTATGTAGTCTTACCTTCTTCAAAGTACCAGCATGATCTGTCAGAGAGAACAGTCAATGAGAGAAGTTATAATTAGGCTTATTCGTGGAACAGCTATAATTATGCAAACGTGTGATATTCACAGTAAACTCATGTATTATCTTAACACGATCACATGCACGTAAACAGACCTGAGTTTCGGCCGCAGGCGGGGACCCTGCCCAAACACTCTTTATGTGCAGCCATTTTACAGCGAGTGCAGCGATAGCCCTGGAAGAATATCCCTCTGCAGACGACAGATGGAGAGATTCAGACAAAGTTAAAGGTCCCCTATTCTACTGTTTTTCATCCATATATTATAGGTCTCAGATATATACAGAACATGTCTCTGATTGGCTGGAACACCAAACAGATCATTTCAGCATCCCATAATCCTCTCTGTTTCAGCCCTGTTTCCAAAGTGCTGATTCTCTGTCTGTTACTTTAGATGAAAATAAGGAGCCCCTCCCCACGCCCCTCTGAGAGATATTTGGTTAAAAAGAACACAATGGTGCTCTAGGAGGAGATTCAGGTGATAAGGTGGGGGGGGGTTACCTTGGTTACTGATTGGCTAATGGTTACACAAGCCATAAAATCGTTATGACATCATAAAGTGGACAAAATCTGATCAGCTCATTTTCAGACAGCTTTTTATAGAAATGGATCAGGACAAAAAGTGAGAGAATCTTTTTTCCTGAAACTTTCAGAATCTCTTTCCACAGAGGGGACACATGTTGATGTAGAAGAGACATGAACAAGTGGATTTTGCTTAATAGGTGACCTTTAAGAGAAGAAATGTCAAGAAATAGCTGGTGAGACACAGTACCTTAACAGCATGGAACAGGCCTTGCAGCAGGTGGTTCCCTCGAAGCAGTGCATCTGGAAGTCGTGGTTGTTGGCTGTGGGTTATCTGGGCACATATTCGACCTGCAGACATGACGAATAACTGTTTTTAAAACACTAGGATAACAAGCATTCATAAAGCTAGTTTTCACTGGCAGTTTAACTGTCTTTTGTTGGGAAAATACTGAATGTACTCTTCTAATATCAGAGCAGCACATGATAACAAAGGCCCTACGTAGCTGTGTACGTGACAGGAAGTATGGTTACCCCAGAAGAGTATCCGGAGACACTGTTTTAGCATATGATAGCTATGTTATTAACATGATGATCCAGCCTCTATGGAGATAGACATATGACAAGCATGTTTATTGCTTACGTGGGCCTTAGCTAATCTGAACTAAACATTGAATACTGCTTTGAACCGGTATTCTGCATCTTGTGACTGTGATACTCTTGTATATCAGCATGTGAAGGACACTGTTCAGAACTAGTTGAACCATATGCTCTGTATGTGATGACTACTTCCATTCTTGCAAGGATCATAAATACATGGATCCTGATATTGAAGCTCAAGCCGGTGACGACGAGTGATATTTTTCATCCTCTTTAAAGAAAGTAAAACACTTGTTGTTTTCAAGAGAATGTCTATTTAACAGCAGCAACAAAAGGCAGTTTGCCAATAACCAGTGATGTGCATTTCCTCTATGGT